AGTTGGGGGGCACTACGCATTGGTGCGTGGTGTGCGGTGGTTTGACTACTGTGTATGACCAGCGAAATCCTCGACGCACACTGTACCGCGAGTGCGGCCTAAAAAGAAGAGAACAGAGAAAACAGGGGAAGTGATAAAGGAAGCCGCTGCTTCTTTTTCTTTTCCCCTTTCACCCGCATCTGTTGCACATCACAACGGTTTCTCGAGGTGCCGCACATGACAATGGGGAGCTGCTTGCCTGCACTCTCTCGCATCTGTGTCTCTGTGCTTGATGTGTGGAAGACACCGTGCTCCTCGTAACCGCGGCGTAACGCATTACGTGCTTGCACCCTCCGTTCTATCTCCCTATGGCCAAACAACATAGAAGAAAACAACAACAGCAACAAGCAAAAACAAATGTTGTAGCTGGTGATGTATTCCCATTTTTTCCCCCGTTCTTCTCCATGAAACGAATCTCGCTCTCCCCCTCTTGCCTTTCCTCTGTCTTCTCTCATTCGTTTTCTGCTGTCTGCTGTGCTCCTGCCCGTGTGAACCCTTCCGGGTCAGCTGCACGCACAACGGTCAAGCCCAGTGACGCTTTCTGCTGCTTTTGTCTTCTTGCGTTCGCCCTGTGTACGTCGACACCCACAACATCTCCCCCCACCACTTCGTTATTATTAGTGTTTTCTCCCCCATTCCCCTCCCCCGCAACGCACGTTCGAGAGAACGCGCGAGAGCGAGCTCATCGGCCGGGACTTCATCTTCTTCTTTTCTTCGCTTCCACTTTTGTCGCTGAAACCTCTCCTCCGTGCGACCTGCCTCTCTCCCTTCTCGCTTCGTTGGTGCCTGCCTCGTACCGCCTTCTCCTTCTCCGCCACATCTCATTTTTCTTGATTTTCTTCTTGTCATCATCATTGTTATCTACGGTAGTGCGATATACGTCCGCTTCCTTTCGTCGTGGCACTGACCTTGTCCTCCTTTACGCCTCTTCCTGCCCTTGTGCTCAGTACATACCTGCCTTCCAGCTCCTTCACATCGTGTGAGACGGAGGAGGCCACGTCCAAATACATACATACATACGAGCATCTCGAAAACATGGAGGGAGGAAACCCACCTCCGCGGAACCGTCCGCAGCCGCTGGCCAACGACCCTTTTGATGAGGACGAGATCGCCAAGAGGGCAAACGACGAGGTCCCTCGTCAGCGCACCGCCTCTGTGGGCCACGGCTTCCAGGTGCAGGGCTCCGTTGCGGACTTCGACCCGGGCACGCTCAAGACGGGCAGCGTGTCGGGCAACTTTGCCCTGCCGATGTCGTGGCGCAAGCTGAACTACAGCGCTGGCGAGCTGCGGATTCTGTGCGGGCTGACAGGGACCGCGCTGCCTGGCCGCTGCCTGGCCATTCTTGGCTCGTCCGGTGCCGGCAAGACGACGTTCCTGAACGCTATCTGTGATCGGCTGGCGGAGGACCGACACCTGAAACTGAGCGGCCGTCGACAGCTCGGCGATGTGGAGTACGAGCGGCACTACCGCAAGGCGATGGGCTTCGTGGCGCAGGACGACATCGTCTCGTCGCTGTCGACGCCGTACGATGCGTTGTGGTTCTCGCTGCGCACGCGTCGTGGCACTGACCGCGCGGAGACGGAGGCGCGTGTGCAGGAGGCGCTGGAGGTGCTGCGCCTGCAACACTGCCGCGACACGAAAATCGGCATTCCCGGTCTGGAGGCCGGTCTGTCCGGTGGCGAGCGGAAGCGCTGCAACATCGGCATCGAGCTGATCGTGGACCCGAAGATTCTGCTGCTGGATGAGCCGACGTCCGGCTTGGACTCCGTGACGTCCGCAAAGGTCGTGCACCTGCTGCGGCAGCTGTCGCGGATGGGCCGCACGATCATCTACACGATCCACCAGCCGACTGCGGAGGTGCTGTCCTACTTCGATGACCTGATGCTGATGACGCAGGGCCGCGTTGCGTACCACGGCACGATGGCTGCCTCGCTGGGCTACTTCGAGTCCATCGGCTTTCCGTGCCCGGAGAAGTACACGCCGACGGACTACTTCATGGTGATGCTGCAGGACCCCGTGACGAGCACGATCCTGATCAAGCGGTGGCGCAAGTACCTGAAGAACGGTCCGCGCAGCCCGCACACGGCCGCGGTGCGTCTCGCGAAGAGTCGCAGTGAGTCGAGTGCGGCCAAGTTTCTGGACGCGTACATCAAGAAGTTTGGCAGCTCGCCTTTTGTGCAGTTCTATGAGCTGACGCGTCGCAGCGTGATTGAGATCTCGCGTGATCGGCTGTACATCTTCTCGCTCGCCTCTCAGGCCACATTTTTTGCCGTTGTGGTGGGCCTGGTGTTCCTTCACGTACGCGACAACGTGGAGGGCATACAGGATCGTGAGGGCATGCTCTTCATGACGGTGATGAACCGTGCGATGGGCTCCACCTTCATCATGATCGACGCCTTCGAACGTGTTCGCGCCGTCTACACACGTGAGCAGCAGGCTGGCGCCTACTCGCCGCTCTTATACTACGTTGGTCGCAGTCTTGCCGAGTTCCCGCTGCAGATCTTCTTTATCTTTGTGGAGTGCGCTATTCTCTACTGGATGGTGGGGCTTTACCGCAAGCCTGGCGAGTTCTTCTATTACTTCGGCGCCATTTCGATGGTGTCGCAGGTAGCCAGCGGTCTCGGTTTTGCGATATCTTCCAGTTTCCCATCCCTGTTGATTGCCGCTGCGATGGCGCCCCTTATCCTTCTTCCTCTTGCGATGGCGGGTGGTCTGTTTGCGAGCACGGAGCGGCTTCGCCCCTACTGGTACTGGCTGGAGAAGCCGTCCTTCATGCGCCACGGGTACATCCTGGTGCTTCGAAACGAGCTGAACAATGTTCGCAACGTGGCCTGCAACAACTACAATAAAGGTGATGCCTATTGCATCAACCAGGCACGCGATGGCAAGGTTGTGCTGCGCCTTCTCGGCTTCGACGGCGATCCACAGTCGACGGACGTGTGGATGTGGGTGTCGCTGGCCATCATGTTCTTCTTGTGCCACATTATCAGCGTCATCGCTCTTTCTAGGGCCGGTCATGCGAAGACTTAGGCAAATCTGCATGTGTATCTCGGTGTGTGTGTGTGTACCGTTGTGTCTGTTTGACGTGGGCGGTGGACGTTTTATTGTTCGCCGAATCTGAGGTGGCCACGCTTCCGTTCGGTGTTGATCTTACGTAATCGATAGCCTGTGGTGGCGTGGCTGTTGTCTCTCCGCTCCTCCGCTGTTATTCTTCTTCTTTGTTCGTTTCGGTGTTGGTTTTGTTGTCCCGCGCAACCTCGTTTGGACGGGACGGAAGTGAAGCGAGAGGAGGCGTCTGTTATGTTATTCTATTCTATTATTATTATTTGTAATTCCCTCGTTGTCTCACCTAAGTGAATCGAAGCGCGTCATGCCTGATTTTCTTCCATTGTCTTTTAGTAAATTTTCTCCTCTACTTTTCCGTACTTGCGTTGAACGAAGTTTCAAGTTATTATTGACTCAGAGTAACGTTGGATTGTTTTTTTTTTTTTGTGAGCCTGCGAGGGGAATGGAAGGGACGGAAAAAATGAGTTGAATGTGATTGGCAGCGGAGAGATTGGCGGATCTCGGTCATTTAGGGTAATGCTCTAAACTATCTTCTCCTTTTCTATTACCTCCTGAATCCTGGTTCTTCCGTATTCTGGTTTGCCTGGCACAGTTGTTTTCAGCATCGAGAGAAACTCCGGTTTTTCGCTGAAATCCACCCGCCCACCCCCGGTCCCTCCCACGACAGGGACCCATGGGATCCTTAAAAAGAACCATGAGTTTTGTTTTCCTTGCACTTCATAATGCGATACTCTCTGAGAAAAAGTCCGACGACAAACACGACAGATAAAGAAGAACGGAATTGGGGCAGATACTAGATAGTGAAGAAACAATGAGTAGCCTTGATGGGGACATTGATGCCAGGTACTCGCTAGTTATGTATTTCCCTAAATGTCGTGCAATCACTTCGATTCTTGACTTCCTATCCTTCTTATTCTTGATCTCTAGCGGGAGTGGACCCCGCTCTAAACGGGTTGTCCAGCGCATGTGTCAGCAGCGCAACGGAGCACCCACCCGCGCGCATTAAGGTTGTTGATCGGTACTGGTTTCTATATTTGTATATGATTATATATATAATTATGTGTAGATTTGAATTCCGTTCTTCTTTTCCCTTTCCGGTGAGGCGAAGTGCGCGACGAAGCACACAAGCGCGGACGGCGCGTGCCGTCTGCCGTCGCAGCCTCAACTCCTGCTATTTTCCTACTGCTATTTTCCTTTCGTGTTGTCTAACGTGGTGTAATGCGAGGTGACGGCGTCTCTCGATCGGCGTGCGGGCTACCTGCGGGAGTCGTGAAGAAGCGGCGAAACAGCGCAGGGAGGTGGACAGAGGCGCTCTTGCATGGGGAGGCTGTCGAACGGAGTTTTGTACGGAGTTGGGGGGCACTACGCATTGGTGCGTGGTGTGCGGTGGTTTGACTACTGTGTATGACCAGCGAAATCCTCGACGCACACTGTACCGCGAGTGCGGCCTAAAAAGAAGAGAACAGAGAAAACAGGGGAAGTGATAAAGGAAGCCGCTGCTTCTTTTTCTTTTCCCCTTTCACCCGCATCTGTTGCACATCACAACGGTTTCTCGAGGTGCCGCACATGACAATGGGGAGCTGCTTGCCTGCACTCTCTCGCATCTGTGTCTCTGTGCTTGATGTGTGGAAGACACCGTGCTCCTCGTAACCGCGGCGTAACGCATTACGTGCTTGCACCCTCCGTTCTATCTCCCTATGGCCAAACAACATAGAAGAAAACAACAACAGCAACAAGCAAAAACAAATGTTGTAGCTGGTGATGTATTCCCATTTTTTCCCCCGTTCTTCTCCATGAAACGAATCTCGCTCTCCCCCTCTTGCCTTTCCTCTGTCTTCTCTCATTCGTTTTCTGCTGTCTGCTGTGCTCCTGCCCGTGTGAACCCTTCCGGGTCAGCTGCACGCACAACGGTCAAGCCCAGTGACGCTTTCTGCTGCTTTTGTCTTCTTGCGTTCGCCCTGTGTACGTCGACACCCACAACATCTCCCCCCACCACTTCGTTATTATTAGTGTTTTCTCCCCCATTCCCCTCCCCCGCAACGCACGTTCGAGAGAACGCGCGAGAGCGAGCTCATCGGCCGGGACTTCATCTTCTTCTTTTCTTCGCTTCCACTTTTGTCGCTGAAACCTCTCCTCCGTGCGACCTGCCTCTCTCCCTTCTCGCTTCGTTGGTGCCTGCCTCGTACCGCCTTCTCCTTCTCCGCCACATCTCATTTTTCTTGATTTTCTTCTTGTCATCATCATTGTTATCTACGGTAGTGCGATATACGTCCGCTTCCTTTCGTCGTGGCACTGACCTTGTCCTCCTTTACGCCTCTTCCTGCCCTTGTGCTCAGTACATACCTGCCTTCCAGCTCCTTCACATCGTGTGAGACGGAGGAGGCCACGTCCAAATACATACATACATACGAGCATCTCGAAAACATGGAGGGAGGAAACCCACCTCCGCGGAACCGTCCGCAGCCGCTGGCCAACGACCCTTTTGATGAGGACGAGATCGCCAAGAGGGCAAACGACGAGGTCCCTCGTCAGCGCACCGCCTCTGTGGGCCACGGCTTCCAGGTGCAGGGCTCCGTTGCGGACTTCGACCCGGGCACGCTCAAGACGGGCAGCGTGTCGGGCAACTTTGCCCTGCCGATGTCGTGGCGCAAGCTGAACTACAGCGCTGGCGAGCTGCGGATTCTGTGCGGGCTGACAGGGACCGCGCTGCCTGGCCGCTGCCTGGCCATTCTTGGCTCGTCCGGTGCCGGCAAGACGACGTTCCTGAACGCTATCTGTGATCGGCTGGCGGAGGACCGACACCTGAAACTGAGCGGCCGTCGACAGCTCGGCGATGTGGAGTACGAGCGGCACTACCGCAAGGCGATGGGCTTCGTGGCGCAGGACGACATCGTCTCGTCGCTGTCGACGCCGTACGATGCGTTGTGGTTCTCGCTGCGCACGCGTCGTGGCACTGACCGCGCGGAGACGGAGGCGCGTGTGCAGGAGGCGCTGGAGGTGCTGCGCCTGCAACACTGCCGCGACACGAAAATCGGCATTCCCGGTCTGGAGGCCGGTCTGTCCGGTGGCGAGCGGAAGCGCTGCAACATCGGCATCGAGCTGATCGTGGACCCGAAGATTCTGCTGCTGGATGAGCCGACGTCCGGCTTGGACTCCGTGACGTCCGCAAAGGTCGTGCACCTGCTGCGGCAGCTGTCGCGGATGGGCCGCACGATCATCTACACGATCCACCAGCCGACTGCGGAGGTGCTGTCCTACTTCGATGACCTGATGCTGATGACGCAGGGCCGCGTTGCGTACCACGGCACGATGGCTGCCTCGCTGGGCTACTTCGAGTCCATCGGCTTTCCGTGCCCGGAGAAGTACACGCCGACGGACTACTTCATGGTGATGCTGCAGGACCCCGTGACGAGCACGATCCTGATCAAGCGGTGGCGCAAGTACCTGAAGAACGGTCCGCGCAGCCCGCACACGGCCGCGGTGCGTCTCGCGAAGAGTCGCAGTGAGTCGAGTGCGGCCAAGTTTCTGGACGCGTACATCAAGAAGTTTGGCAGCTCGCCTTTTGTGCAGTTCTATGAGCTGACGCGTCGCAGCGTGATTGAGATCTCGCGTGATCGGCTGTACATCTTCTCGCTCGCCTCTCAGGCCACATTTTTTGCCGTTGTGGTGGGCCTGGTGTTCCTTCACGTACGCGACAACGTGGAGGGCATACAGGATCGTGAGGGCATGCTCTTCATGACGGTGATGAACCGTGCGATGGGCTCCACCTTCATCATGATCGACGCCTTCGAACGTGTTCGCGCCGTCTACACACGTGAGCAGCAGGCTGGCGCCTACTCGCCGCTCTTATACTACGTTGGTCGCAGTCTTGCCGAGTTCCCGCTGCAGATCTTCTTTATCTTTGTGGAGTGCGCTATTCTCTACTGGATGGTGGGGCTTTACCGCAAGCCTGGCGAGTTCTTCTATTACTTCGGCGCCATTTCGATGGTGTCGCAGGTAGCCAGCGGTCTCGGTTTTGCGATATCTTCCAGTTTCCCATCCCTGTTGATTGCCGCTGCGATGGCGCCCCTTATCCTTCTTCCTCTTGCGATGGCGGGTGGTCTGTTTGCGAGCACGGAGCGGCTTCGCCCCTACTGGTACTGGCTGGAGAAGCCGTCCTTCATGCGCCACGGGTACATCCTGGTGCTTCGAAACGAGCTGAACAATGTTCGCAACGTGGCCTGCAACAACTACAATAAAGGTGATGCCTATTGCATCAACCAGGCACGCGATGGCAAGGTTGTGCTGCGCCTTCTCGGCTTCGACGGCGATCCACAGTCGACGGACGTGTGGATGTGGGTGTCGCTGGCCATCATGTTCTTCTTGTGCCACATTATCAGCGTCATCGCTCTTTCTAGGGCCGGTCATGCGAAGACTTAGGCAAATCTGCATGTGTATCTCGGTGTGTGTGTGTGTACCGTTGTGTCTGTTTGACGTGGGCGGTGGACGTTTTATTGTTCGCCGAATCTGAGGTGGCCACGCTTCCGTTCGGTGTTGATCTTACGTAATCGATAGCCTGTGGTGGCGTGGCTGTTGTCTCTCCGCTCCTCCGCTGTTATTCTTCTTCTTTGTTCGTTTCGGTGTTGGTTTTGTTGTCCCGCGCAACCTCGTTTGGACGGGACGGAAGTGAAGCGAGAGGAGGCGTCTGTTATGTTATTCTATTCTATTATTATTATTTGTAATTCCCTCGTTGTCTCACCTAAGTGAATCGAAGCGCGTCATGCCTGATTTTCTTCCATTGTCTTTTAGTAAATTTTCTCCTCTACTTTTCCGTACTTGCGTTGAACGAAGTTTCAAGTTATTATTGACTCAGAGTAACGTTGGATTGTTTTTTTTTTTTTGTGAGCCTGCGAGGGGAATGGAAGGGACGGAAAAAATGAGTTGAATGTGATTGGCAGCGGAGAGATTGGCGGATCTCGGTCATTTAGGGTAATGCTCTAAACTATCTTCTCCTTTTCTATTACCTCCTGAATCCTGGTTCTTCCGTATTCTGGTTTGCCTGGCACAGTTGTTTTCAGCATCGAGAGAAACTCCGGTTTTTCGCTGAAATCCACCCGCCCACCCCCGGTCCCTCCCACGACAGGGACCCATGGGATCCTTAAAAAGAACCATGAGTTTTGTTTTCCTTGCACTTCATAATGCGATACTCTCTGAGAAAAAGTCCGACGACAAACACGACAGATAAAGAAGAACGGAATTGGGGCAGATACTAGATAGTGAAGAAACAATGAGTAGCCTTGATGGGGACATTGATGCCAGGTACTCGCTAGTTATGTATTTCCCTAAATGTCGTGCAATCACTTCGATTCTTGACTTCCTATCCTTCTTATTCTTGATCTCTAGCGGGAGTGGACCCCGCTCTAAACGGGTTGTCCAGCGCATGTGTCAGCAGCGCAACGGAGCACCCACCCGCGCGCATTAAGGTTGTTGATCGGTACTGGTTTCTATATTTGTATATGATTATATATATAATTATGTGTAGATTTGAATTCCGTTCTTCTTTTCCCTTTCCGGTGAGGCGAAGTGCGCGACGAAGCACACAAGCGCGGACGGCGCGTGCCGTCTGCCGTCGCAGCCTCAACTCCTGCTATTTTCCTACTGCTATTTTCCTTTCGTGTTGTCTAACGTGGTGTAATGCGAGGTGACGGCGTCTCTCGATCGGCGTGCGGGCTACCTGCGGGAGTCGTGAAGAAGCGGCGAAACAGCGCAGGGAGGTGGACAGAGGCGCTCTTGCATGGGGAGGCTGTCGAACGGAGTTTTGTACGGAGTTGGGGGGCACTACGCATTGGTGCGTGGTGTGCGGTGGTTTGACTACTGTGTATGACCAGCGAAATCCTCGACGCACACTGTACCGCGAGTGCGGCCTAAAAAGAAGAGAACAGAGAAAACAGGGGAAGTGATAAAGGAAGCCGCTGCTTCTTTTTCTTTTCCCCTTTCACCCGCATCTGTTGCACATCACAACGGTTTCTCGAGGTGCCGCACATGACAATGGGGAGCTGCTTGCCTGCACTCTCTCGCATCTGTGTCTCTGTGCTTGATGTGTGGAAGACACCGTGCTCCTCGTAACCGCGGCGTAACGCATTACGTGCTTGCACCCTCCGTTCTATCTCCCTATGGCCAAACAACATAGAAGAAAACAACAACAGCAACAAGCAAAAACAAATGTTGTAGCTGGTGATGTATTCCCATTTTTTCCCCCGTTCTTCTCCATGAAACGAATCTCGCTCTCCCCCTCTTGCCTTTCCTCTGTCTTCTCTCATTCGTTTTCTGCTGTCTGCTGTGCTCCTGCCCGTGTGAACCCTTCCGGGTCAGCTGCACGCACAACGGTCAAGCCCAGTGACGCTTTCTGCTGCTTTTGTCTTCTTGCGTTCGCCCTGTGTACGTCGACACCCACAACATCTCCCCCCACCACTTCGTTATTATTAGTGTTTTCTCCCCCATTCCCCTCCCCCGCAACGCACGTTCGAGAGAACGCGCGAGAGCGAGCTCATCGGCCGGGACTTCATCTTCTTCTTTTCTTCGCTTCCACTTTTGTCGCTGAAACCTCTCCTCCGTGCGACCTGCCTCTCTCCCTTCTCGCTTCGTTGGTGCCTGCCTCGTACCGCCTTCTCCTTCTCCGCCACATCTCATTTTTCTTGATTTTCTTCTTGTCATCATCATTGTTATCTACGGTAGTGCGATATACGTCCGCTTCCTTTCGTCGTGGCACTGACCTTGTCCTCCTTTACGCCTCTTCCTGCCCTTGTGCTCAGTACATACCTGCCTTCCAGCTCCTTCACATCGTGTGAGACGGAGGAGGCCACGTCCAAATACATACATACATACGAGCATCTCGAAAACATGGAGGGAGGAAACCCACCTCCGCGGAACCGTCCGCAGCCGCTGGCCAACGACCCTTTTGATGAGGACGAGATCGCCAAGAGGGCAAACGACGAGGTCCCTCGTCAGCGCACCGCCTCTGTGGGCCACGGCTTCCAGGTGCAGGGCTCCGTTGCGGACTTCGACCCGGGCACGCTCAAGACGGGCAGCGTGTCGGGCAACTTTGCCCTGCCGATGTCGTGGCGCAAGCTGAACTACAGCGCTGGCGAGCTGCGGATTCTGTGCGGGCTGACAGGGACCGCGCTGCCTGGCCGCTGCCTGGCCATTCTTGGCTCGTCCGGTGCCGGCAAGACGACGTTCCTGAACGCTATCTGTGATCGGCTGGCGGAGGACCGACACCTGAAACTGAGCGGCCGTCGACAGCTCGGCGATGTGGAGTACGAGCGGCACTACCGCAAGGCGATGGGCTTCGTGGCGCAGGACGACATCGTCTCGTCGCTGTCGACGCCGTACGATGCGTTGTGGTTCTCGCTGCGCACGCGTCGTGGCACTGACCGCGCGGAGACGGAGGCGCGTGTGCAGGAGGCGCTGGAGGTGCTGCGCCTGCAACACTGCCGCGACACGAAAATCGGCATTCCCGGTCTGGAGGCCGGTCTGTCCGGTGGCGAGCGGAAGCGCTGCAACATCGGCATCGAGCTGATCGTGGACCCGAAGATTCTGCTGCTGGATGAGCCGACGTCCGGCTTGGACTCCGTGACGTCCGCAAAGGTCGTGCACCTGCTGCGGCAGCTGTCGCGGATGGGCCGCACGATCATCTACACGATCCACCAGCCGACTGCGGAGGTGCTGTCCTACTTCGATGACCTGATGCTGATGACGCAGGGCCGCGTTGCGTACCACGGCACGATGGCTGCCTCGCTGGGCTACTTCGAGTCCATCGGCTTTCCGTGCCCGGAGAAGTACACGCCGACGGACTACTTCATGGTGATGCTGCAGGACCCCGTGACGAGCACGATCCTGATCAAGCGGTGGCGCAAGTACCTGAAGAACGGTCCGCGCAGCCCGCACACGGCCGCGGTGCGTCTCGCGAAGAGTCGCAGTGAGTCGAGTGCGGCCAAGTTTCTGGACGCGTACATCAAGAAGTTTGGCAGCTCGCCTTTTGTGCAGTTCTATGAGCTGACGCGTCGCAGCGTGATTGAGATCTCGCGTGATCGGCTGTACATCTTCTCGCTCGCCTCTCAGGCCACATTTTTTGCCGTTGTGGTGGGCCTGGTGTTCCTTCACGTACGCGACAACGTGGAGGGCATACAGGATCGTGAGGGCATGCTCTTCATGACGGTGATGAACCGTGCGATGGGCTCCACCTTCATCATGATCGACGCCTTCGAACGTGTTCGCGCCGTCTACACACGTGAGCAGCAGGCTGGCGCCTACTCGCCGCTCTTATACTACGTTGGTCGCAGTCTTGCCGAGTTCCCGCTGCAGATCTTCTTTATCTTTGTGGAGTGCGCTATTCTCTACTGGATGGTGGGGCTTTACCGCAAGCCTGGCGAGTTCTTCTATTACTTCGGCGCCATTTCGATGGTGTCGCAGGTAGCCAGCGGTCTCGGTTTTGCGATATCTTCCAGTTTCCCATCCCTGTTGATTGCCGCTGCGATGGCGCCCCTTATCCTTCTTCCTCTTGCGATGGCGGGTGGTCTGTTTGCGAGCACGGAGCGGCTTCGCCCCTACTGGTACTGGCTGGAGAAGCCGTCCTTCATGCGCCACGGGTACATCCTGGTGCTTCGAAACGAGCTGAACAATGTTCGCAACGTGGCCTGCAACAACTACAATAAAGGTGATGCCTATTGCATCAACCAGGCACGCGATGGCAAGGTTGTGCTGCGCCTTCTCGGCTTCGACGGCGATCCACAGTCGACGGACGTGTGGATGTGGGTGTCGCTGGCCATCTCTTCTTCGTATTCCGCTTTATCAGCATAATCGCGTTGAACGTGGCGGGTCGCGCCAAGATGTGAGAGCAACAGGGGATGGTTGTGACGCTCCCTATTTGTTGGGTCCCTCGCGCACTGCAAGAGCAGTCACGTTTTGTTCTTGTTTTTGACGCCTCTCCTCCACACGGTGGCATCTTCACGGAACCTCTGTGGTGGTGTTCGACGTGTACGCTGGTGGTGGACAGCGGCAGTGACCGCTGTTTTGGTGTCGTCTTTCTACTGGTTTGCTCTCCCCTCCCTTCCTCTTCATGTTAATACACACGTATATAGTTACCTCTCTCCCTAGAGCGGCGTTGGTGAGTGCTGTGGTCTCGTACGTGCAGCTGGCCAGACGGTGACGCGCCCAGAGACAATTAAATTGAAGCGCTGGCATTCCCTGGCTGTTGTATGTCTTCTTTTATTATTATTATTACTATTATGTGTCTTAAGAACTGTGTGGCCTGGGTGGGGTTCCGCGTGCCGTGAAGGATCGATGATCGCCGGCAGCGATGGCGGCACGTCTCTCTTCGCGTAGACGTGTGCGTCCCACATGTTGATGTCTATGTGTTTTCATCGTTTTTCTTTTCACCTCCACTTACGCGCTGAGCAGTATATGCACATCTTCTAAGCTGCGCCGTCTCTTTTTGTTTTCTTATGCCGATAGGTGTTGTTTTGGTGTTTTACCTCCGCTTTTTAGCAGCGACGGAGCGCACATCCGAGGCCCGTCGCCGGCCTCTTCTTTTCGTTGTTGCTTCGGCTGCACAGTCAAGCGCAGTGGTTGTGGGTCTATGAAGTGCTGTCATGGGAGAGAAGGTGTTGTCTGAACTCACTGTTGGTAGAAACGTGTGAGACATATATATTTTAAGCACCTTTTGTGGTAGGTAGATGTGGACAGGCCGCATTCTTGTTGTTTTCTTTTTCTTTTCGGTCTTGTTTTTCCCTCACGTCAACGGCGGCAGTCCTTACTGTTTGGCTCTCTGCTAGGAGTAGAAAAATAAGAATGGAAAAGGAAGTGGTCATTGGTGCTGCGGACACGATGATTTGATCCGTACACCAATTCAAGCACGCACACAGAGAGTCATTATTTTTTGTTTGTTTGTTTCTTGTCGAAGCGTCTGCGGTACAACCGGAGAAGTACGCTTTCCCACTTTCTTCTTCTCAAGTTTCTTGTTTATATCCTCGTCGCGCATATCCCCCCCTCCCTCAATCAAAATATGAAGGCTGTTACACCGAAGGCTGAGTGGGATCGCTGCGCTCAGCATGGGCGATTCTTCACGAGCTCACCGTTGCTGTTGAGTTTACTTCGATGCCAGCATACGGCGTTGGTGAAGATAGTGAGCTACATCACTACCCATTATTGCGACGCCGACTATTATTTTTGTTATTATTATTACTACTACTACTTTCCGTTTGAAGTAACACGAAAATGATTCGATAAGGGCGCCAAGTTGTGTTCACTGCACGTTATATATACATGAAGAGGGGAAGCGCGAGCGGGTGGGGCGCAGTCTCCCTCACCCTGTCTTTGTTTTATTTATTTATCTACTTCTGTTTTCCCCCTTTTTCCTGATGCTTTTTTTTTGTCTGTCTGTCACGACCTCCCCTCTTCGGTCTCGCTTACCCGTCGACCAACCGTGTTCGAATGCCTTGTTGTGCTTTACACATATGAGCTGACATGCGCACAAGCGCGTGTGTGCTTGCACTGCAGAGCCGTTCCTAATGGTCAAATCATAGCTCCACGCATGCGGGTGGGAACGTGCGAGCTTGCGTCTGCCTGACTCCCCCCTCCCCTTCTCTCTCTCACACACACGTGCGCGCACACATATGCCGCATCTTCTGTTCCGCTTCTCGCTTTCTGTATTTTGTATTTTTACACCTCTTTCGTTCTCTCTCTTCTCTTCGATTTGTGTCTTTTCTTTGTTTTTAGTCCTGACTTCGATTCCTTGTACGAGTTTTACGTTGACGTCGGACGTTCGCTCATTTAATATATATATGCATTTTTATATCTCGCTCCCACCTGTGCTCCGCCCCATGCGTCGTGGGCTCTGTACTCCACCCAGAGAAATGCCAGCGACGTTCCTGTCAACGCGTACTCGGTGTGCAATAGGAGAAGGGGGGGGGGAGGAGAGAGAGATTCCGTTGATTTTCTATGCTTACCCTTCATTGTCTCGCACGATGTGCTCCGTGTTATCATCATTCACAACAAAGCAAAACATCAAGAAGAAAGGAAGAGGGAGGGGGTCTTTCTCTCAACCGTTTGAGCCGACGACTCGTCTTGAAGCAACGTGGGCACCCTCGCCTGTGCTCGCGTGTTGCAACGCCAAAACGCAAGGATAGATGGAGTAGAGTAAACATGATAATAACAGTATTATAACACGCGTTTGTGCTGCTCGTGGACCGTGGCCGGTGTGCCAGCAGTGGCCCAAATCTGGCTGCCGCGGCGGAGCCGTTGAGCCGCCACGGAGCGCATCAGACTGTCCTTTCCGGTTTGCCCACCTGCACCTCTCTCCTCTCACGTCCGCCGCCTTTCTTCCCTTGACTTTTCGTTTTTACCCCTTCCGCGTGGTGACTGTGGAGGCGCCATTCCTGCAGGGGACCGCAGGTGTAACGCCGCGAAGCATCAGCTATCTGCGTTCTATTATCATCCTTATAGAATGCTATTTCGGCAGCCGACACGCGGCGGAATGTGCCACTAAAGCGAACCATTTCCTTTTGAACAGTTCCGTGGCATCGCGAAGCATGGCAAGCATCAACCAACAGCAACAAGAGTCAAAGGACGGTTAGGCTCGTACTGCAAAACTCCTGCAGGGGAGGGGGGGGGGATCTCACTTCTTCTTGTCTGCAACCGTGACAAACGGTGCTGGACAAAACCGCATGGGAGGCCGTCAACGCGCCGCGTAAAGCGATGCGAGAGCAGGCCGAGTCCTTACGGCGTCTTTGCGCAGCACGGCGGAAGCGACACGTACCTCTATCCAATGCAAAATGTCTCGAGTGTGTCCTGGGGTTGTTTTTTTGTCCTTTTCAGACAGATGGAGGGGGAACAAGTGACGTGTAGCAAACGAAAACGCACCCACTTCCGATGGGCGCTCTCTCGCTCTCCGAACCGATGCACCCGACACGGCTAAGCAAAACAGATCTACTCAAACAAACTTCTCGCCTTCGTTCTCGCTTCTCACTCCCCGCCCGCTCTCTCACTCTCTCTCTCTCTCTCTTCCTCTTTCCGTTTCAAGCATCTTCCGTTGTATACGTGCGATTTCCTTCACATGCGCCAGCGCACGAAGCACCGAAACACAGATATCGTCTGCTTTTTCTTTCTTTAATGACATCATGAAGTTTCTTCTCCCTTCTCGTCTTCATTTTTCACACAGTGAAATCAGAGTCCCGTCAACACTACCGTTATTATTATTATTTATGCTCTCTCTCTCGCTTCTGCGGTGGTCAGCGTTCATGCGTGGGCTCCCTGAAGATGTGGTATTCCTTTCCCCGCATTCATTCAGTGGCGGTCCCACCTCCCCCGTCGAATACAAACATATCCTCCTGTCGCCGTCTCATCACATGAAGGAGTTGCGCGCAGCCCACCCTCTACCACAACTCTTTTCTCGCACTTTTCTCGCTGCGCGTGTCTTGCTTGCCTTTTATTCTTCTCAAGGAGCTTTGTATAAAAGACACGGTGCCTTCCAGCTCCTTCACATCGTGTGAGACGGAGGAGGCCACGTCCAAATACATACATACATACGAGCATCTCGAAAACATGGAGGGAGGAAACCCACCTCCGCGGAACCGTCCGCAGCCGCTGGCCAACGACCCTTTTGATGAGGACGAGATCGCCAAGAGGGCAAACGACGAGGTCCCTCGTCAGCGCACCGCCTCTGTGGGCCACGGCTTCCAGGTGCAGGGCTCCGTTGCGGACTTCGACCCGGGCACGCTCAAGACGGGCAGCGTGTCGGGCAACTTTGCCCTGCCGATGTCGTGGCGCAAGCTGAACTACAGCGCTGGCGAGCTGCGGATTCTGTGCGGGCTGACAGGGACCGCGCTGCCTGGCCGCTGCCTGGCCATTCTTGGCTCGTCCGGTGCCGGCAAGACGACGTTCCTGAACGCTATCTGTGATCGGCTGGCGGAGGACCGACACCTGAAACTGAGCGGCCGTCGACAGCTCGGCGATGTGGAGTACGAGCGGCACTACCGCAAGGCGATGGGCTTCGTGGCGCAGGACGACATCGTCTCGTCGCTGTCGACGCCGTACGATGCGTTGTGGTTCTCGCTGCGCACGCGTCGTGGCACTGACCGCGCGGAGACGGAGGCGCGTGTGCAGGAGGCGCTGGAGGTGCTGCGCCTGCAACACTGCCGCGACACGAAAATCGGCATTCCCGGTCTGGAGGCCGGTCTGTCCGGTGGCGAGCGGAAGCGCTGCAACATCGGCGTGGAGCTGATCGTGGCACCGAAGATTCTGCTGGTGGATGAGCCGACGTCCTGTCTGGGCTCCGTGCTGTCTGCGAAGGTCGTGCGCCCGCTGCCGCAGCTGTGGCGGATGGGCCGCGTTCTACTGCGCGACCGCAGACGGTTCCCGTGGTGGGTTCGGGGTGGTGCTTTGCGATGCGCCGGTGCCGCCCCACCCCTTCGCTTCGCAGCGTGTCGTTTGTTTGCGTGCGTTCGGAGGCTCCGCTCGGCCCTCGCCCCGGCGTTTGCGTGGCGAGGGAGAAGCAGACGAACTGGCGTTGGTTCTGCATCGACTCGCCCGCCTGTGTGCCCGGCATGAGCCGCTGCTCTCCTGATTTCCTTTCTTTTGCCCACACACGCACTCTCGCGCGTCAGGTGTTCGTCCGCACCGCCTCCCCGCTTTACGGCGCGTGCGCGTGCTCATTGCCGCGATCTTCACTGTGCCGACCACACGCGCCAGCGTCGGCGGCTATCGAAGCGGCGCGTGCGTCGTGGGTGTGTTGGCGGCGCCGGGGCCGCGACCGGCGTGTACGGCGGGTGGCGGAGAGGGGGGCCGCCCCGGCGTCGCTGAACGCGCGCAGATGAGCAGACGCGGCGCCCCATGCCGCACCGGTGGCCGTGCAGTCCCTTCTCGCTGGCGTACCCGGACGCCCTCTCGCGCGAGGCCGCCGCAGCGCGTCGTGGCGTGGTGGCCGCGACGGAGGGGAGTGCGAATGCGTTTGGTGTCTTGGCCTGCGCCTGTAGCGCACCGAGTACGATGCGATCACCATGACCCCCTTGTGCCTTCACTGCGAGCATGGCGGTGGCGCACGTCCACGCGGTGAGCGAGAGCGCCGCCGCTGACTCTCAGCTGTGTGTGGTCCTTCGTTGGGCGGGAGGGGCGGGGCGTTTGGCGGACACGCGTGGCGGCGCGGGAGCCGAGCGAGGTCGCTGCGCTGTGCTGGGTGAATGCCGCCTGCCCGGTGTGTACCGGCGGACCGTGCAGGCTGTGACGGGCCAAGTGCTGCCGGTGCACATACCGAGCGCTTGTGAAGGAGGGGCGACTCGCACCGGTGAAGACGCGGGGGCGGGTGCCCCCGTCAGCGAAACACTTTCTCACTCGCTGACGGTAACAGTTCTAATGAATGCTGAGCGACGTACGCGAAGCGGGTTGTGCCGACCGGGCGGAGTCTGCTGCGTGCCGCCTGCTGTGCCGGCGCCGCCATGCGGTCTTTTTCTCGAGCCGCGGCGGTGAAGGGGGATCGCTTGCTGCCCTCCCGTGGTGTAGCGCGACTGGTGTGCGGGTGTGCGTGTTTGCGTGCGCACGATGGGGTGCGTGGTTGTGGTGCAGCCCTGCGGCGTTGCCTGCTGCGTGCACGCCGACGCACGCCGCCACAAATGTTCTCTCGTCCGCTGCCTTGCTCGCCGCTCCATGCGCTTCTTCTCTTTTCCCCTCCCTTTCTTCCTGCACTGCTCCACCGCGGCGCCGACCGCCGCAGCTTGAAGGCCTTCTCTTTCACTACGCCTCTCTTCATAATCTCTTTTCGCTAAACACACACTTTCTCTTTTCTGTTTAATTTTAATACATCAGCTGTTTCAGCAGCATTCGTCACTGCGGCACACTCCACAAGCGCAAGCCCCACGTGCGACGACCGACTTTCTCGTTTCTGTCAAGCTGTACGAAGCTTTTCACGGCGACCCCTTCCTTCCTCTTCCGTACCTCCTCCCTCACCTCTCTGACTGCGACCCATGGCGTGTCTCAGCTACCCGCTGCGTCGCATGATGGTGGCCGGTGCGCTGCTGGTGCTGTGCGTGAACGCCCTCTTTGTCTCCGCGACCTCCACCTCCGACTACACCGCGGATCAGCAGAAGAACACGTTGGCGTTCCTGAAGGGCTTTGCAGTAGCGGGCTCAACTCTGGAGACCAGCTGGACGGGCACGGACTTCTGCACGTGGCCGTACGTGAGATGCTACGATGATTCGGGCACGCTGACCTTCATGGACTACATTGCGCCGGCGTTCACGGGATCGCTGGTGCTGCCTGAGCTGGGTGCGGACGTGAACGGCTCCGAAGTGATCTTCACTGGCATTGACTTGAGTGGGTTTGGGCAACAGGTTACGGGCTCCCTGCCTGCGAGCTGGGGCCGCCTGACGACGCTGACAAGTCTGGACTTGAGCGGCAACGCCTTGAACGGGTCACTGCCTGCGGACTGGGGCGGGATGGCTGCGCTGGAGTCACTGTACCTGAACAGCAACCGCCTTGAGGGCAGCCTTCCCGGCCAGTGGAGGTTCTTGTCGGAGCTGATGACGTTGCGGCTAGACAAGAACACGCTGTCCGGCACGCTGCCTGCTGCGTGGTTCCGCTTGACTTCACTGAGTACTCTGTACCTAAACGACAACATCCTTACGGGACCGCTGCCTGCGGCGTGGGTGGCGTTGACGGCGCTGTGGTCTCTGGATCTGTCCAATAACCAGCTAACGGGCTCGATCCCTGAGCGGTGGGGCGAGCTGCGAGTGTATACATTGGTGCTGAGCAACAACGAGCTGTGCGGATGCATTCCTACCAAGCTGAAGAACAGTTATTATCTCCCCACTGTGGATCCTGATGTGTCCGCTGACAACTGTACCACTGCAAACCCGTGCGAGCCGCACAGTGCTGACTCGGCCTCCGCGCCGGACGACTCCGAGGCGAGCGCGTTGCTGACGGCGAACGAGCAGAACACGCTGAAGTTCCTGCGGCTGGTGCGGGCTGCTGTGGGCGGGGAGCTGCAGAGCCTCTGGAGTGGCGTGTGGTACTGCGGCTGGTGGAACGTGAAGTGCGGGTCTGACGGGTTGGTGTCTGTCGCGCTGAGCGACGTCACGGTCTCCGGCCCGGCGCAGCTGCCGGAGCTGACGACGCACATCGACGGCAGCCTTGTGGACGTGACGAGTTTCGAGCTGTACGACAAGGGTGCGCGCGTGACGGGCGCGCTGCCTGCGAGCTGGGGCCGCTTGACGACGCTGAGGGAGCTGGTACTCAACGGCAACGCACTGACAGGGTCACTGCCTGCGAACTGGAGCACCATGACGAAGCTTTACACTCTCAACCTGGCCGCGAATGTCCTCTCGGGCACGCTGCCCGTCGAATGGGCCTCGATGCCGACCTTGACCGAGTTGCGGCTGAACAACAACCAGCTGGCTGGCGCGATCCCTGAAGGATGGAGCAACATGAAGTCACTGCAGGACATCTACCTGTCGGACAACGACTTCTGCGGGTGCGTGCCGAGCGCCTGGAAGGGGGGATATCGTCCGTACGTCCGAGCCGATGACGCGGTGACATCAACGAAGTGCCGCACCGCAAACAGGTGTGTCGACGGCAGCGGCAGCTCTGACAGCATGGCGGGGATGACGGAGGAGGAGAAGAGCACGCTGAAGTTCCTGCGTGGCTTTGCGGCCAAAAACCCGTTTCTTGCGAGCAGGTGGACCGGCATCTACTATTGTGAATGGCCGTACGTGCAGTGCACCTCTTACTCGAACGTGCTTAACTTCAACGCCTACAGCGCGCCGGCGTTTACCGGAGCGCTGGTCCTGCCTGAGCTGGGTGCGGACGTGAACGGCTCCGCCGTGATCTTCGATGAGATTGACGTGAGTGGGTTTGGCCAACAGGTTACGGGCTCCCTGCCCGCGAGCTGGGGCCGCCTGACCCACCTGACGAAGCTGGACGTGAAAGGCAACGCACTTACGGGACCGCTGCCTGCGGACTGGAGCGGGATGTCTGCGCTGCAGACGCTTCACATGGAGGACAATCGTATTGAAGGGGTTCTTCCCGCGGACTGGGCCAACATGACGATGCTGAAGTACTTGTACCTTCAGAACAACTCGCTGACAGGCTCGCTGCCTGGTGCTTGGAGCGGGTTGGCTGCGCTGCAGGAACTGTACCTGAGCAGCAACCGCCTTGATGGCAGCCTTCCCGGCCAATGGAGGTTCTTGTCTAAGCTTCGCGAGCTTCGGCTTTCGAGCAATGCGTTGACCGGCACACTACCGGCAGAGTGGAAGGCAATGACCAGCTTAAATGCACTCAACCTTTCGAGCAACGCCCTCTCTGGCTCGCTGCCTGCGGCGTGGGCCTCCCTGCAGTTCCTGCGGTCTCTATACCTCGCAGCAAATCAATTTACAGGTTCGATCCCTCGAGAATGGGCAGCCCAGTGGACGTACTTCACTGCTGATCTGAGCAGGAACCATCTGTGCGGATGCCTCCCTGATGGCTGGTCGAAGCAGACTTTCCTCATCGACATTACCGTGGATGCCGCGGTGTCTGCGTCCAACTGCAGCGATAAGAACGCGTGCGACGTGCACAACACCACGACCACGACCACGACCACGACCACGACCACAACCACGACCACGACCACGCCGCCGCCGCCGACGACGACCACCACCGCTGCGCCGACGCAGGAGCAGCGAAACACCTTGAAGTTCCTGCAGGCGTTCTCGACGATGGACCCGAGTCTGGCGATGCGGTGGACCGGGAGCAGCTACTGCGACTGGGCGTACGTGAGGTGCTCTGCGGACGGTGCGGTGCAGCTGGACCTGTCACCGCTGCCGCTGGCGACGGCTGTGTCACGGACGAAGGCCGCCGCGTTGATGAAGACTGTAACGTCGACGGCGGCCGTGTCACTGCCTGAGCTCGCGGCGGACGTGGACGGGCAGCAGGTTGCGGTGACGGAGTTGAGCGTGTACGGTAAGGGCTCGCGGGTCGCGGGGACGCTTCCAGCGAGCTGGGGCCGCCTGGCGCGTCTGCAGACGGTGCGCGTGCAGAGCAACGCCATCACCGGCACGCTGCCGTCTGCCTGGAGCGAGATGACGTCGCTGCGCAGCCTGAACGTGAGCGGCAACGCGCTGTCCGGTGGCGTGCCTGATAGTTGGGGCGGCATGACGAAGCTGGTGAGCGTCGACCTGAAGGGGACGGGCCTGTGCGGGTGCCTGCCCGCGGGGTGGAAGTCGAAGACGGTGGCTGCGGATGCCGCGTTGACTGCGCGGGACTGCGCGAGCGCGAATGCGTGCCCCGCGGTGTCGAGCACATCAGCCCCGCCGAAGAAGAAGTCTGGACGGAACCTGATCCCACTGTGGTGCGTGCTGGGTGCTGTGGGTGGGCTCCTGGTGGGAGTCGCGGTGGGCTTTGGCGTGCGCTTCTACCGCCGGCGTCAGCTCAAGGAGGCGGAGGTGAGGCGGTTCCAGGACTCTGAGGAGAAGGAGATGGAGCCTTTTGCGACGACGCCTGACTCGCCGTATTAAAGGTCGCTGGCGAGGCGCCACCGTTGCCGCTGTCGCGTCTGCGGAACAGCGGGGGGTGCGCATGCGCGTGACCGCGTTAATTCTTTTTAACTGTTCTCTCCCTCTCCCTTTTAGCTTCCTTTTTTTGTTTCTCACCGTTCCTCCCGCTGACCTCGACGTGCTGCAGAGTGCGGAGACGGTGAACGCACGCGACAACGATCTTGATTCTCTAACGAGGCTCATCTGAGCTGGCCCTTTTCTATTTATTCCTCTGTGAAGTGGTGTGTTTAAGTGCCTTTGCCAATTAATCGTTTTTTCTTCTGCCGCTCTTCACGCGACCGCCCGCCTTTTCTCTTTTGCTAAAAAAGTAGATTTCTTCTCTCTTTCAATTGACGCCGGCGTCTCTGCGTGGATATGGCTGAACGGTGTGTGCCCATGGAGTGGTTGCACGAGTTTGTCTGCGTTTCTGGGGCCGTGGTTGACGTGGCCGCCTCTGAACATGCGTCCGTGAGATGTTTCTGCGTGTGTGCGTGTGGAGCCGCCGAGAGAAGCCGCCGTGCGGGGAGCAGAGAGCGACAGAGTTCACTCTCCCCTAGTCGGTGCCCTTTTCCTGGCTACTTAGGTTCCCGTCTGCGAGACGAGCTCACCCACCCACACATGTGCGGACGTCCGCTGCTCGCAGCTCAGCCGTTCAGCGTTTTTATTTTTTTAATTACTATTTCTATTTTCACTTCCATCTGCACTGCGTGCCGCCTCTCTTGCCTTTGCGCTAATTGTGATTGTCCTGTTTCCCGTGTCTCTGCTGCCTGTGTGGCGAGGCGTTGCTGAGCGCGTCGTTGAGTACAACCGCCAAGGGCATCGGAGAATGCACTCCACGCAGCTTGCATAACACTAATGCGCGTTTGATACATTCGCCTCCCTTCCCGTTTTTAATCCTGTTTGGTATTTTCGACCGCGAGGTCTCTTCTTCATGCTTTGCTCCACAGTGCTAAACCGTAGTCTTTCCGACTTCTCTTGTTTGGTTTTTTCGTTGTTTGATTGCTTTATTGTTCTCTTGTTTCGTTTCTTTCTACGCTCTTTTTTATGCGCCGCACCGGTACGCGCGTGCCTTTCCACTTCCCGCGGCGCACCTCCCCGTTGCGGAGCTGTGCGGCGTACTGCAGTGCTTTGCGGGTGAAGACACACGGAGACCTCATTCTGTGGCGGCGACCGATGCAGCCCGCACTGCACACGCACCCGTGTGCGAGAGGTGCCTGACGTCTCCTTGTGCCCCTCTCCTTTTTGTGTGGCATCATTCGTGCTGCTGTGCTCTGCCTTCCTTATCAGTCAACGCGAGTGCTGCCGCGGCTGCTCTTCCAGCTTGAACGGCGCTATTCCCGTAACTCACATCAAAACTTTCTTTAGGCGTCCGACGCCTTTCTTTTCTGTAAGGCACCGCCTTTGCTCCCGTCTTTTTCTTTAGGGGCCTTCGCGGAATGAAGGTGAAGCTGGCGAGCTGAGCGACGCTGCCCTGCGCGCAGCCGTGCACGTGGGCATGCACGCCTCATTGTGCTTGCTCCACGTGCTGGAGCGCCGTCGATGGCTGACGACACCGAGGCGCTGCCTGGTGCACGACCTGCGCTGAAGCAACAATGTAGATAGCATCGTCTCACAGCCTTTTCTTTCCTTTGAAGCGGGCAGCCGCACTGGCTTCTGCGAGTGCGACGGCCGTTGGCCAAATTTTTCTTTACTCCTTTGTTTCCTGATTCTGTTTCTTGTGTCTCGGACTGCGCCGCACCGTGGCACCTGTTTGCGGGAGTGGGCGACGGGGCCGTCCTTGGGCAGGGCGGTGCGTGCGCCGTGGCAGCCCGGTCATCGGTGTGGCGGGGGTGTGGGCGAGGGCTCCTCATGCGCGTCGCACAGGCGCGTCGGTGCACCTGTGCTTGTCTTCACTTTCGCGGCTTGCGGAGCGAGCGTTGCGTCTCTCACGACTGGCTGCTCGTCTGCGCTGGGCCGCTGGCTTCCCGTGCGCGTGTGTTGGCCCTCCGCCCCCCTCTTGTTTTCGAGACTTTCTATTTCTATTTCTATTTCTATATGGTTCCACACGTAGGTTCCTTCTCCCTTCCGAATTTCTCACTGCCGACACGACGCCCGTCGGCGCACTCCGCTGCGCCTGTGCCTTGTGTCCCTCGACCGTGCTGTGCCGTCGGAGCCGCGACGGCATCACGAGCGTGTCGCGGTGCGGCGTGGTGTGGATGGAGGGTGCCGCTGGCTGCCCTCTCTGCACCATCCACGGTGCGCCGTTTGTGGCGACGCGGCTCGAAGGGATGATGGTGTGCTGGGCGGGTTTCCCTGCGCTGGATGCCGGGTGCGCTCGCGTTTTGAATGATGGCGCCGTTCACTCTCCCCTCCTCTCTCTCCTTCCTTCCTTCCTCTCTTCTCTCCGCTGCAACATGAAGCGGACCGTCCCACCTTAGGACGCGCAGGTGCGTTTGCGCGTTGCGATAGAGTGCGGCGACAGCTGACGTTGCCTGCGCTGCCGCCTTCGGGGCAGGCGGAGGTGCGGTGCTTTGGCTTTTTGCGCTGCTGTGCGGCGGCGCGTGTGCGGGAGGCGCCGGGGGTGCTGCGCCTGCAACACTGCCGCGACACGCAGGTCTGTATTGGCGGTCTGGAGGCCGGTCTGTCCGGTGGCGAGCGGAAGCGCTGCAACATCGGCGTGGAGCTGATCGTGGCACCGAAGATTCTGCTGGTGGATGAGCCGACGTCCTGTCTGGGCTCCGTGCTGTCTGCGAAGGTCGTGCGCCCGCTGCCGCAGCTGTGGCGGATGGGCCGCGTTCTACTGCGCGACCGCAGACGGTTCCCGTGGTGGGTTCGGGGTGGTGCTTTGCGATGCGCCGGTGCCGCCCCACCCCTTCGCTTCGCAGCGTGTCGTTTGTTTGCGTGCGTTCGGAGGCTCCGCTCGGCCCTCGCCCCGGCGTTTGCGTGGCGAGGGAGAAGCAGACGAACTGGCGTTGGTTCTGCATCGACTCGCCCGCCTGTGTGCCCGGCATGAGCCGCTGCTCTCCTGATTTCCTTTCTTTTGCCCACACACGCACTCTCGCGCGTCAGGTGTTCGTCACGCACCGCCTCCCCGCTTTACGGCGCGTGCGCTGTGGCTCTCTGCGCGCTCTCCCTTCTCCGCTGTTTTGGGGTTGCGCGCTGCGGTGCTATGTTTTGCGCCGCCGTATTATCCTCCTTGCTGTTTGTTTGCGGGCGCAACGGCTGGCGAGTGCTTTTGCAAGAGCGACCGTTTCATGCGGTCCGGTTGTGTTGCTGGGGTGTGCAGGGTGTGGCGGCCGGCGCCGGCTGTTTTAAATAGTGGCGAGTACTGAGGTTGGGTGGTGTTGCGCGGTGACCTTTGTGGCTTCTTTCTCCTCCCTCGACTGGCGTTTCGGATGTTTGCGCAAGAACTCGCCGTCGCCGCGCTCGCATCTTTTTTTCTCTGCTGCTCCCTGTGTGGTTTGCGCCACGATCGTCGCTGCAGTCGGACTCGGCAGCTGCTGTTCTCCTCCCAGGTGTCCCCTATCTGCTGCGGTGCGGCGTGTCCTGGTTGCTGTTGCGCCGCAGCTGGCTCCGCTGCTGCTCCGCTCCCCCCTGCGCACCGACGGCTTCAGTGACTGGGAGCACGGGAGGACGTGATGCGCGCGGGTGGCGGCGAGGAGTGGAAGAGCACGACGGACTCCCCGGACTGTCCTCCGTTTGTTTCTTCCCAGTTTTGGTGGTTCGCTGTGGACCCAGGCGCACGCCCCGGCCCCTTTGTCGTTTAGCCGCCGCAGCCCTTTTCCGTCGCTTTCGTGCGTGTAGCGGGGCTTCCTGCTCTGTGGCTTGCTACGCCCGGCGGCGATGCACGTTGCGCGCTTTCTTGGTGACTCAGCGAGGTGCAGGCTGTTGGCACGCCACTAAAGACCCGAGCCGAGAACGCGGACACGGACTGTGTGAAGTTTCACCTTTATTCCTGTAAGCGACTGGGGGAGGGGGGGGGGGCAGCGGCAACCACGAAGCCAGGTCTCAGACGGCGTAGCCCTGAGGTGCTCCGATGATGTTGGCCGCCGTGTTAGCGCGCTGACGAAATCGGAGGCGAGTGTGGGACCGGCCCTATTCGGGTTTCGCCTCTTCTGCGAATGGAGGCGCACGGCTTCAGGCGATACGTTCTTACCTTGTTGAAGCACCTCGAGTGCGCTTTCCTATTCCTTTTCCAAAGAATGAAGCGGCGCTGCTCCCCGCGTCTTCCTCACCTTCCTCCTTTCCGCGCCTTGCACGGCTAGGAGAGAGTCACCGCCACCGCTGCCCCCAATGGTGGCGAAGGTGTTGCCTCGCCGTCTGTGCGCACCCACCAGTGCGTACGCTGCGATCCGCCTGCATACGGGCGACTGAAGTCAGCTGTTTTGGCGTCAGTTTACGGAGCGTCGGTTTTGCCGCGTGCTGCGGAGTGCAGCCCGGGTAAACGCTGCGAGCGCCTCTTTGTCGGTTGCTCATCTCTCCCGCTTTGGCGCTTTACATCGGTGCTGGAGAGTGTTGCGCGACTTGAAATGAACGAACGCCGCTTCCACCTCTCCTCTGCTGTGCCTGTCTTCCTCTGCAGCTGTTGCGTTTCTGCTCAGTCCTTGCGCGTGTCCCTGCTCGGGTGCGCGAATTTCTCGTTGCTCCTCTTTGCCCTCGCAGCGGTCACCGCCGAAGCGAGCGGCGTCAGTGCGCAGCGGAGTCCACCCTCGCAAGCTGTCGCGGGGCTGGCTGTGCTTCGCCGCATTGCCCAGTTCGCGGAGTCCATTTAAAGTAGTGGAACCGCGGCCGCCATGGCTCTTGTGCGGGAGGCCGATGTGTGTGTGCTGGGGACCCCTGTGTACGGAGTATCTTGGTTCGTCACGCACACCCGCACGCTGCTGCTGGCCTCCCCCACGGCGGACGCCGCCATCCGTCGGCAGGCGAGCGACGCTGCCTGGCGTGACGGGGAGACGGACCTGGATTGTGTCCTCTGCGACCTCGCTGCGTGCGCTGGGACGGACAAGAGAGAGGCGGTGGACTACACCTTCTTGACGGCGCTGCCCCGGCCGCAACGCATTCGCGGGCAGTCGGTGGGCGATCGCCAAGCGCAGTTGCTGCAGTGGATGGAGGCGTGCATCGTGTGCCGCAGTCAGACGCACCTGCCGGAGTTGCTGCGAGGTGCCTCGCCCACTCTGCATTTTGAGTACGACTCGGCACTGAGGAGTATCGGAGGTGGACGTGGTGACGGTGGCCGGGTGGGGGGAGGTCCCGGCACGCGACGTGTGCAAGGACTCGTGTTGGCTGCCGTGGAGGGCGGCGGCGGCTCCCTTGTGCGACTCCGCATCCCTCTACTGCTGGAGCGCTCGGAGAAAGTCAATGCGGCGCTGAACAACGTGGCGGTCCTCTATTGCAAGTTTTCGCATCGCGTGTGGAGGACGAGCTATCAAGTTTCTGCGGTGGAGACGGACCTGCACGTGTGCATTCGAGTGATTCCGCCGACGGGCAAACTTACGGTGCTGTCAGAAGATGTGGAACTGCGAATTGCAGATGGCTCTGCGGCGGCCGACAGCAACAACCAGTCTTTAGTGCCGTTTTTGAAAAGTTGTGTGGATTTGAACGGGCTGCCGAAGCTGAAGTTAACGCACGAGGGGGGCGGCTTCATCGATCACCTGCCGCAGCTAGAGGAGGCGCTCTATCGTCGCATTCGCGAACCGTTGCACTTTCTGAAGTTAATGCTTGGTCTGGGAGCCGATCTTGGGGGTCCCATCGATCTTTGTGTGAGCTGCAAGGCCGTCATGCGTTCGGATATCCCGCAGACGCCCCCTACGTGCAGAACGGCGGTGTTTTGTGCTGTCGACAGCGAGTCATCAGCTGCCTTCACAGTCGGGCTTCACTACTCCAGCGGAAAGGAGCTGCCCTCGATTGAGACGACGTGTACGCAGTACTTAAACCGTCAGGACAGTGCCGTGCTGTCCGCGAAAGTGAAGTACTCGAAACCGAGCACTACCATGCCGAGAGATGACGACAGTTTTCTCGATGTGGAGGGTTTACGCGCCGAGGTGGTGCGGGGCGTGATGGAGTGCATGACGCTGGCTCTCACTGCTGCTTCGTAGTGGGTGAGGTATTGTGTAGGTAAGTTTCATTGTAGCTCGTCAGCAACGTAGCTGTATTCTTTTTTCTATTTTTTCTTTTGATTTTGTTCAGATGTCTTTTCCTAGTCTTCTCGCGATAACTACTGTCTTTTAGATGCTGCGGTCTCTGCTTAGAGGGTCGCTGGCGTGATCGGTATGGAGTTCTCAAATGCAAGCATCTCTGTCTGGCATGAAAGGTAACGTGAGGGAACACTTCTTAAAAGGTGGAGTCGCAGCTTCTTGTGATGCAGTTGCTGCCGCCTCACGTTTTGCTTTACGCTTTTCACGTGGAGTTCGCGTATCTTGTTCCCCCCGTCACAGCTGAGCGTTTTGGCTTCTCTGTGGCACTTCGCCGGCTTTTTCTTGTTTACCGGGTCTGCCGCGGTGTGTATCCCTTGTGCCTTTTTAAAAAGCAGTTAATGCTGCGCGTTGCTTTAGTTATCATCATCCCTCCCCTTTTGGCTTTCGTGTTTTCGGTATTCTCGCGGGGCGGCGGATCTCACCCTCTTCCGTTAATCAGTGTATGCTGCGCGGAGGAGACCTCCATAACCTCCCCTTACGCCGCAGAAGCCCAGGAAGGCTGTCGACGGGACACGTCCTCGGGGATGCGCACATGCCGTGGCACTGGAAGGACACCCCTCTTTAATAATCCCTTCTCAGTCTGCAACTGAAAGGCAAGCATCAACGTTCTTTTGCCAGAGACTCTCAGTACAGCAAAGTTGTTCTCCTCAGAGAATTGCACCTCCTGCAGTCCGTCCTGCGCATCTGAAGGCGACCACCTCGTCGGACCGGGAGGCCGCTCTGCAGATGCCCACTGCCCACAGCGCGACGCGCGTCTGTTTGTTGGACGCCGCATGCGTTGTGCACACCTGAACCCTCTGCTTTCTGCGCCCCCTGCACGTCCGACAGAAGAGCACCTTCTTCTTTTCGTGCCCTGTTCCCGCAGCACTCATGGGTACGATACGTCATGCCGAGATGAGCGAGGACACGCAGAGGCCAAAACACCGAACTGCCGAGTTGGGCTTCTGTGGTTCGCTGACATCTCGTTGACCACTCTCGTGATGGAGTCCTTCGTGCCTTTCCCGTAATGTACTAAAATCCAACTTTGGCTCAGGACAGCGCAGCGCTTTCGACTCTTCGACCACGGCTCTTGGCTTGTCTACGCTCCCCCCCTCCCCCCCAAGGACGGTCCGTGGACGTCGGTTAATGCACCTGACAGATTCGTCGAGGGGTGGTGCACCTCGTTTTGCGCAGTGGTGTCTCTCGATCCTCACGAATGGTTTCCGTGGCGCGTACTCGAGCGTCAGGCAGACTTGCGGAAGACGAAGACGCGGTGCGCTCTTTTCTGGTGGCGGCTGCACCATGCATGGGCCGCCTTTGTGCACGGAAACACGGCAGCCGTCCCATCGCCGCCGACAACATGCACCGTTCTCTTGGTTTTTTATTTTCTCTGGTCACCAACACCGTTTGGGCGACTTTCGCTCTTCCGATGATGTTGTCTGTCCGCTGCTGCTGCCGCGTCGAGGTTGCAGCGGGCGGGAGGTCCAACGGACGTTCCGCTTTCACGGCGGTGCTTTTCGTCTGTGTGAATTTAGCCGTGCCGTTCTCTTCATAAAGGCGGGCGGCCTTCTTTTTCTTTTCCTTTTCGGTAGCGCAACTCGAGAGCTGCAGCGCAGCGAGTGCATCATCGCTTGGTAGGCCAACAACCTCCGTTGAGACTTGGTAGGCATGGGTTACCTGCCTCTCTGTGTCCCGCCCGCTTCAGTTTTCTTTCATGTCGTAGAAACCGGAGACTGCCAAGTCGTCACCTCCGCCCTTACAGTTTGACATAGCAGCGAGGCTCACAGACCTGCGTAGATGAGGTACGAATGAAAAGTACGGTATAAGTAAAGGAAAGAAGGAAAACAGGAACGTTCGCGACGAAGGACGAAGTCGCATCGTCGATCCATTGAATCCACGCCGTTCGACAACACGTCTTCTTTCTTCTCTACAGCTTCACTACCCACAAAAGCAAATGATTACGATATGCTTAGCCGAAGAATGAAGTACTTTATGCTGCATCTGGATGGCTGTTGACTCACGGACGTCTCTCCCCTTCGGCACATCTTCTTCGCAGCGTTAAATAGGCTCTGCGGTGTATCGATAAACTCTCCACGCATCTTTCTCTTCTCTCTTCTTCTGTAGTATGTACATTCTCCTTTGCGTTGCAAACTGGAAATAGCCACATCAAGTGCGCAGGAGCCACCGTGCTGCCCGTACTACGAGACGAAGAGAAGACCGATCAAAAACGATTGCATCACTCTGCCCTTTGTTTCTTCCTATTGGATGTAAAGCTTCAGCCACCCGTGGCATTCTTTCATGGATTATTTTGTCTGCCGAGTCGAGCATCTCATCAAATAGTGTCTTTTACTTGTACAGAGGCTAATGGACAGCACGGGGGGCGGGGGCGGTTCGGCGTGCGCGTCACCGAAGGTAAGCAACAACAACAGCGCCTTCGATGCTCTCACGCTGCAAACCATTCAGGACCAGCAGCACATCATCGAACGGCAGAGAGAATTGGTCGCCACGTTGAAGACGCGCGTAGAGGAATTGGAGGCCCACCAGCTGCGCCACTCCAATGCAACGGCGATAGCCACTACGCATCACGGTGTCGGCAGCAGCGGCTCGTACGCAGCGGAAGCACGACTGCAACGCCGCATCCAATCTATCGAGGCGGAGAACGCAGCACTGAAGGAATGCGCGGCGGGGCTGCGAGATGACTTGGTAGTCGCGGCGGAGCATCTCCAGACTCAGCAGCTCGCAAAGGAAAGGGAAGAGGCGGCTTGGAAAGAAAAAGTGGACGCGGCGGAGGCGAAAGCCGCAGCCACCTCGCAGCTTTTAGACGCGATGGACAGACGGACGACGAAGCTCTCCGATCAGGTTCAGAAGCTGCGCAAGGAGGCCGACGTCCGCGTGTACGAGGTCGTGCAATGGCGCTCGCTGGCGACCACCATACTGCAACACCTCGACAAGGTGCAGAGCCGCTACGCCAGGGAGCAGGTCATCTCTGTTGAGGACAGTGTTCGACGCTACGCCGCACGTCAAGCACCAGCACTCAGTGTTTCTGCAGCGGCATCTTCACCCAGCCGGAGAGAAGGAGAGGCGGAAGAGCAAGCGATGGAGGCGAACCGCCACATGTGGAGTCGCAAAGCGCAGGCACAACAGCCTTTGAAGGTCAGCAGTGCGAAACCTAGAACTGAAAACTCTACCGGTCCCATGTAGTCCGGCGTCCTTTCACGTGTGTACGCTGAACCAAACCAAAGGAAGTCGGACAAGGTGGAAACAAAGAAGGGAGGCGTAGCTGCCGAATCGGCGGAGACGACAGGGAATGCGGATGGTGCGTGGCATTCTACGTGGGAGAGGCGGTGTTGCCTCCGTTCTCGCCTGAATCTTCGCCACAAACTGTTGGTTCATTCTCAGGAAGATGTGCCAGGCCACAGGTGTCGCAGCGACGACGCTGATGAGGCATAACCGTCGTGGATCCGTGCATGATCCGGTACCGCAAGAAACGGTTCGATGACAAAGAAAAAGGATTCGTACGCTTCAGTAAGAGTTTTGTCTGACAGAAGCACCTGGCGTGAAGAGCAACAACAAGCCCTCTTTGTGGAGGAAGCGATGTCCTAAGAGAAAAAGAGATAAAAAGAAAAAATCTTCTACTTTGATTTCCACTCTTTTCTTTTGCCGTTACAGACGGGTGCAGAACGGATTTTCTATTCTGCGCTGCTTGTCGCGCTGTCGTTTCATTTCGCGTCTGCCGTGAGCGCACGCGCGCTTTTGCGGCCGCCTCTGACCAACACACGTTGTTGGGGTAAACTCTGGTTCTCTCCTTTTACTTCCCCCCGCTCCGCTGATCTCGTTCTTTCAACTGCACAGGTAGCACGTGCTGTATTAAAACGAAAAGGGAAGAGAAGTTGTACATTACGCGGCCTGTTTCCGTTTCAATTTTTCTTTTCGCCTGTATGAAGACGGCGTATCAACACACACACACACACAACGCCTCGTATTGAGAGATCGCAGTGCACTGTGTGGGCGAGGATTTTCCTTCCTGCGCTGCGATTTAGTAGTAGTTTCAAATTAGACCGCTCTTTTCTTCGTCTGCTGTCCGTCACTGCGCCAACAACGGTGACAACAGACACGCAAACAAATATCTTCCTCTTCTGCGTGGAGACGCAAGGTTGCCTCGCATCGTAGCAGGCAGCAGCTTTTGTCCGTAGAAACTTGCGTATATCCTCTCGCTGTGTTGATCCTTTTATTTGTCATTTATCTCCCTTCTCTTTTTTACTGTTCTGTTCTTGTTATCGCCCTGAGCGAGCGGGCCTTGTGCGGTTCTTCTCATCCTGAAAGCTCCTTCTAGCAGAAAACCGAAGAAGAAAAACCCATCTCCCCATTCAGGTGGAGTGACTCGTAATTGGGGAAAAAAAAACTGCACACACACACACACGCGCACACCGCACCGATCTATACATCCTTCTGCGGAGGCGTTGTATTTCGATTCGTAAGCTATCGCCTTTCTTTTACCTTTCTCGAGTCCAGCATTTCTCTCTCCCACTCACCGCGTGGTGCGCCTTCCTTGCGTGTGCGTTAATAGCAGAGCTCTGCGTGCTAAATCTTTTCCTGCCATTTTTTTACTTCCCTCTCCGCCGCCCCTCAGGAGCCGCACATGGACAAACACACAAACCGCCCCCTCCCCGTCATCATGCCCGGCGCTCCCAAGGACTACTACACCTCGATGGTGTACAAGTCCAATTACCAGGACACGCAAACACCCTTCGTCATGGGTGCGGCACCAAAAAAGAATCCGCAGCCGTACCGCACGCCCTTTAACAGCGGCCTGCAAGGTAGCGCCAGCAGCGCCCTGTCGGACGGCAGCGCTTTATCGATGCCTCCTTCTGTCGCAGCGATGAGTGCGGCAACGCTGACGCCGCAGCAGTCATCGGGGCAGCAGACCGCCTACATTCCCAGCCGGCCGAGCGGTTACGAAACCTTCGACGCGGTAAAGCCCGCTGGGAGGCTCTACACGCACAACCCGTACGCCTCCTCCTGCACGACGCCCGTCGTGGACGGCTTCCCCAGCGGGTACCAAAACCCCTACAACTCTTCCGCTATGCGGTGCAGCAACTCTGTCGCCGTGCCGCACGGTTTGCTGAATGCGACACGTCCCGTCTACGCCGCCTCTGACGTCAGCGGTGGCGGTGAGGCGAGTGTGTTGGCCTCCACGCTGGAGGAGCAGTTCCTCGGTGTGGTGGGTGGCATCGCGGCCACCGCCATGTCCTGGCGCGGTCGGCTACTGCTGCTGAGTGTGTTGCGCCTGCAGCACGTGGACAAGATTCAGATGATCTACGACGAGATCGCACCGCAGTTTAACATGGTGGCAGTGGATCAGCACGGATGCCACGTGGTACGCACGTTGATTGAGTACATCACCGCGGAGCAGATGGAGGCGCTGGTGCCGTTCATCGACCCGGCGGTGGTGCTGCAGATGGCCACGGCTACGCAGCACACCCGCCGTGTTCTGCAGGCGATCTTCGAGCACCACAAATCGGAGGCTCTCATGCCACTCGTCGAGGTGGTCAAGACGGACTGCAAGCGGCTCTCCATGACACAGCAGGGCTGCATCGTCATTATCCGCATCGTCGAGTACGCCATGCCGGCGCAGAAAAAAGCCCTCATCAACGAGCTAGTGCCCATCCTGCCTGACCTCGCCACGGATCAGTTCGGCAACTACGTGGTGCAATGCATCCTGAAGAACATGGACGGCTACGTGTCGTTTGAGGACCTCGTCGAGAGCTTCCAAGGGCACTGGGTGGAGCTGTCGTGTGACAAGTACAGCTCCAATGTGATGGAGCGCATCATCGGCATGCTGCGCGGCGAATCTCGCCAGCGAATCGTCACGGAGCTCATCTTTGAGCTGTCGAACCTTCAGCGCCTCATGCAGAACAGCTTCGGCAATTACGTCTTGCAAGCCGTCATTGGCAGTGCCGTGGACCAGTACGAGTTCAAGTGCGTCTACGACGCCGTCACGCCGTTTCTTCACACCAGCCCCTATGGCCACCGTATCGAGGCGAAGCTCAAGAGCCGTTACGACGTCCTGTACAAGAGCACATCCATGGACTGCTGCCCGGTGGACGCCTCTCCAAAGTAATCCGGAAGCAGGACCATCGCCAAATCAGGAGAGAAGAGTCAAATTAACACATGGGATTGTCAGCGTCCGAAGGATTAGAAGTCTCGGCAACAAAAATAGCAAAAGCGATTATTTTGAAAATCGAGGAGAGAGAATGCGCTGCACCGTGAGGAGTCGCCGCCGCCATTCCGCGCACGTGATCTACACCGTTTCCCCCTCCGCATTTTTTTTTCCTTCTTTCTTTTTCCAAACGTTCTGATTCGATTTTTCCCCTTCCATTGTATATATATTTTTGTTTCTCTTTCGCCGTGATCGTTTCTCTTTTTTCAATGTTTCACTGTTCTTCTCTTTCGCTCAATTTCAGATTTCCTTTTATTCTTGCTGCGTGCACGAGAACCGCTGTCGATGTGCAGGCACCGATGTCAACACCACACACACACACACACACCCGCTCACGACACAGTCTTTGAGCGACGGTGGATGGAGTCGGCACCAGCTCAACCGTAATACAGTCGGGTTGTCCGCTGAGGTTCATTTATTGATGTTATTATTATTTTATTTTCTAAACTCTTTTTTTCTCTTTTTCTTTCACACATCTCTCCCCACAAGGATATCAACAAACGGCTTCGTTTAAGTGCCGCCTCAAGTATTCCTCGTTTCAGTTTCCATCCGTTGAATCTTTTCCTTTTCTGATGTTCTTCTCTTTCGAGTGTTTTTTTCGTTTTGAGGTGATTTGCATTGCAGCGGTGCTTAATTCGGCTTCTTTTCGTCTCTTCCCCTCGCCGCCACTTTTCCCTTTCCTCCTGCTCCTCAGTCATCACCGCTGCGTCTCTTGCGTCCGGGTCGTGTTGGGCTGCGCGTTTCACACTTGCGTTTTCTGTTGCGACGTGCTTTTCCTGCTGCGAGTTTCACTGCGAGACGCAATGCTTTGTTGCACGTCCGCGACTTCTCTCTTCTTCGCACCCCTATTTGTTTTGATGGCCAGCGCCGGCAGTTTCCCCGTCACGTGCCGCTCCGTTTTGCGTTGCGGTCATTGATATTCTTTTGCTTGGTCGTCCGGCTGCGACATCCCTTTCTTGGTGCTACGGTGTTGGTGTCTCTGCAGCGATCATTTTCCTTCCTTCGCGGGGACGACACCCTATGGCACCGCATAAACAGCTCAACCCTGACGGCAAGCGTGCGCAGGAGCACGGTATGCGTGTGCGGTGGTCTGTATGCGAAACGGTAAGAAACCGGTTTCACATGCACAGACGACGCACACACACATAACGGCAGAAATGTGCGTTGACGAAGGAAGGACGAGACGGGACGGAGGGAGGGGTTATGGCCGTGCCCGGTTCTCCGCACCGCCCCCAGTTCTGTGCAGTTCTCTTTTCCTTTTGGATTGGATGAGTCTGCATGGCGTTCAAAGACAGTCTTTTCCTAAAAAAAAACTCTTTAGATAGGTTTCTATGTGTCATTTCTGTGTCCCTCTCAACCGCCGAAGCAAGTGGGCTTTGTTCTATCTTTCCAGGATGCGCGTAAAGAGCAAGACATTCCGTTTTCCGTCGGGAGCCGAGTGCGAGCTACCAGGCGGAGGAAACCGCCTGAGCCTACCATCCCACAGGAAGCGAGTAATACACGAAGAACGCCTAAGCGCTCTCTACAAAAAACAAGCAAATAGAAACTGTAGTAACGCACTTTTTTATTATTGTCTTGATTACGCAGGACAAGGCTGTTTGCAGCGGCGGCGGAGAGGGAACAGCTCGTAAAAAGCAACATGCGTAGGCAAGAGGAGACACTCGACGCGTGTGTTACTTCAAACTCTGTATAAAGCACCAATTTAACGGTATACACGATGTTTTTTTTTTAGTTTATTATTTCGTTTATACGTGCTTTTTTCTACCAGTTTGCCGATGTTCTCGATGCTAGTTTTGTTGTTTGCGCGTCGCTTTCTTTCTCGCTCCTTCTCACGCGTGGGAGCCGCCGTTTTACATTCTTCCGGACGCCGCGAAAGTGTCAAAGAGAGGGAAGAAAAACAGCAGCGGTGAAAAGTGGCGAAGGAAGCACTGCAGGGATGAGAGCGACGCCAAAATGCGCCACGTGCTTCTCCGTTTGTTGCTGCTGTACATCCGCTGCGAATGGCTTGTGGAGGCTGCACTCAATGAGGGACCCTTTCTCGGTGGAGAGCGACAGAACTTTATTTCCTCACGCACGCAAACACACGCCTGCGGGTGTGTCTTTCCTTTACGGATGCGCAGCCGGCTTTTTTCACCTTGCCGCTTCACACCACTCTTTAGCCTTTTATGCTGTGTTGCTGTCAACTTACCAAACACAGCTGCCGTATCGCACCTGTGAAAGCAACACTGACAAATGCGGAAGATGAAGTCTATAATAGAGTTGAGCACGTGTCTTTTGACGGATGCGGTCACCACCAAAAATCGTCCAGAGAACGCATAGCAACGTAAACATTCCGTGTTAATTGTAAAATATTTAAGACGGCTTCTTTTGCTTTATGTATATGATGCACCTCTGTGTGCATGCCTGGTTGCGTGTCACCATTCACGTTAGATGAACTCGGTGATAGCGTTAAGCGTCACAGTCCTTTTTTCTTCTCATTGACGTGCGCACGACAGAGTACACCCGAGGCGAGTGAAGAAGGAAAAAAAATATATTTGAGAATGAGAGGACGACCTGGGAGCAATGTGTGTGCTGATGCGGGCTCCTGGATCGTGTTCACATGACGTAAATGCTGCGATGTGTTATACTGAAGTACACGCACACACGCACAGGCACAGACAACTCCCTGCACAATTAACAGAAAAAGAGAAGGAGAACTTCATGTTTCTTTTATTGAAGTAAATATTTTAGCGCCGATGAGAACATGTTTTGGCGCGCATCGAAATTATCAAGACAGCCGTGTTTTTTCTTTTCTACTCTTTTTTTTTCTAAAGCTTCTTTTTCTTTGTCTCCCTTTGGGGGTGTCGCCTGCCCGATGAACAACCTCCGCCGAGACGCGTGCTTTCAGGGCGTAGGGCATCAAGCGACAAAAGCAAGACGGAAAGCGCCAACAGGTATCGAATTAACGGTCGTGCGGGGGTCGGAACCCACCGCCTGTCAGGTTCGATGAACCCAGAGAAGCGAATAGTATTTCGAAATACGCAGCCTTTAGGCTGAATTCCGGTGCGTTGTGCGGCCAAACAGGGATACGTTCAGCTGACGTTTCTCTTTGGGCTACGCGGAAGCAATGCAACGGACGGCCTTCAGGCACGGCTCTTGTGCCAATCCACGTAGCACCTTGTTCTACCAATGCGAACGTGAATTATACCGTCCGTTCATCTCTTCAAATGAAGGAAAGCGGCCTCGAGCTCTTATTCCAACTTACGCAGAATGCAAGCACGCCGTTCATGGCTCCAACGCCGCACTGCTTCCTTCACCCGCTTCAGAACTCTCGCTCACCTCTTTCTTCTCTTCTTTCTGTTCCTTCCGCACTCGGTGCTCGCTGCTCAGGACCCGACAACGCAGCAAACACGCAAGGCAGCGAGTTACTTCGAGGCCTCGGCGGATTCGTGTCGCCTCACACATTTCCTTGATGAGGGAAACGCGAGCAATTCATGGTTTCTCCACAGTCTCTCTCTCTCTCTCTCTCTCGAGAAAACACTGTCTTCTGCTGACAGGGCGTTGAGCACACAACCCTTCACTTGGACGCAGCAGCAACAAAGCCCGCGCACACCCCATGCCGACGCCCTCCCCCTTTTCCCTCACTTACAGCTGGTCCGGCGAGGACGACGGTGACAGACTCTCTCACCGCGTGGTGTGCCTCCGCTTGGAGGAGGAGGGAATGGAGCGGGCAGAAAACTTGGTGCAGAGCGCCCTGCACACGACGCCTCTTTCACCTACACGGAGCACCTTGACAAATCCTGCAGCGGCGCCGTGGATGGAGCTGACAGTAGGTGACCGCGGTGTCTTCGCACTGTGCATCGTGGCCAATGCCCGTGTGCTGGAGATCCACGAAGCAACCGGAGGAGGAACCAATACGAAAGGTGAGGCAACGGCCACGGCACCGCTACTCACGCAGGAGGCGCAGCTCGCCGATGCATCGACAAACCTGTACGCCCACTTTCTTTGCCACGGCGGCGGTGGTGCCCTCTTTCCCCCGCTGCACGTCTACCGGCTGAAATTGTTCGGCCGCACACCCCGCAGTGAAGTCTGCGTCGCGATGACTTGCCTTGTGCTGTTGAAGGAGGCTGCGGTGCCTGCGCCGTGCCTGGCTACTTCCACCGATCCCTTAGTGGCAGGGGAAGCGCTGGGACACACTGCCGGGGCAGGCGGTGCAAATGTGGTGGAGTCCCTCCTCGGACTGCAGCGGCAGCTTTTTATGATCGAGCGGCGTGTTGCGACGGCGTTCGACGATGTGAGGCAGCGAATGGCGCGACTGGAGTCCCGCGTGGAGCAGCTAGAGGCGCCTGTGACGGAGGCCCAGACTACCACCGATCCGGCATCGACGCCAGCACATACCACCTCACAGGCTTTTCATGAGACGAAGGAGGAGGAAGAGGAGGAGAGAAGATCGGCGTAACGGCCTTGTTCACATGCGCACTATATATAGGCCACTTTGTAATCGCTGCACGCTTTGCTCGTTCATCGGCGCTCCTTTCACGGAGTGGCTTCTTTGTGGCTGCATTGGAGTGGAAGCCGCACGTGCAACCTCCCCAAGTACGAGTACGGGGTCAGAGGGCGTCACAATGACTGAAAGTAACAACTTGCGAGTGCTTCCGCGGCTTTTCGAAGCATCAGCAAATTCATGGTGGTGATTGAAAAAAGCACATCTTCGCTGTACATTCACTTTCACTGGGTGGCGCATTCCCGCGCAATTTCCAGCTCTGCAGTTTTTCGTATCCAACTCTGTTTTCTGCGCCCACCTCCGCCGATTGCGCTCGCTCGCATCCAATTCGGCGCAACACACACACGCCCCCCCACACACACATACCCTGCAGTAAAGAAGCAACGGTGTCGCGCCTCTGCCGTCTTCTGCCGCTCCACATTTGTGAACGATGCGGCTTTTCTGCTCCAGAAAGTTGGCCCCTGCGGCTCTCGCCACGGCCACGATGACGCCACGCCGCGCTTTTCACGCGCAGCACCGCACCCCCGTGCTCCCGCAGGTGCACGTCGCCGACCCGCTGCCCTCGCAATGCGTCCACGTCGGCTACCTCATTCACCGCAACCAAATCGTAAAGCACACACCGCACCCGCTGGAGGTGGAGATGGGCTACCTGCTCGAGCGAGAGCACCAGCGGTACAGCCGACACGAGTCGACCGAGTCCGCCACCGCGTTCTTCGCCAGTCGAGGGCAGTCGATGGACGTCCTAAACCGCACCGATGCATCTCAGATTAGAGGCAACTTTTTCGGTCTAGAGTTGTATCAAGACGCCACGAAGGTGATTCTGCAGCGCTACTCGCCTGAGAAGCGGGTGGCGGCGGCGGACGCGTGGAGTCCGTCGGCCCTCAGCGACCACCCCCCGCCGCGCCACACTCTCCATCGAAAGATGGACGACTTTCTTTACCTCATTGTGCAGGAGGCGGAAAGTGGGAAGTGGGCAATCCCGCACACGGCGCGCAAAGACGACGAGTCGCTGCGCATGACGGTCGACCGGGCTCTGTCCTCGCACAACGCTGACGGCCTCGAGTGCTTCCTCTGGTCCAACGCCCCTCAGGCGACGGTGGTGTTGGAGGAGGAAAACACGCGTCTGTTTGTCTACTCCGCCACGTACCTATCCGGGCGGCCGCGGTTCGACTTGTTCGAGCCGAAGCCGCAGGACCACGCGTGGGTGACGCGGCAGGAGCTGCTGCAGTACAGCGATACTTTTAAGAGCACGGAGCTGCTGAAAGCACTGATGGACATCAGCGCGGATAGCACGTTCGAGTCCAGCTGATATGCGATTGTACAGCGAGGAGGACTTTTCGTTTGTGGACCCTTGCACGGGAGCGCTTTGGCTGATACAAGACTCGGTGAATGAGTAGGTGCAGAGTACGGTGCAGCTGCCTCACCATGCCAAGTAAATGGAGAGGTTTTTCTCACCTCCTATCTTCACGCTTCATGCGTAGGCACATCACGTTATCTTCTCCTCTCATGTATTATCTTCATCGCGCTTTCAGAGTGTATTCTGTTGTGTGTGTGTGTGTTGGCTGTGTTGGTGTGTATGGCTGCCGCGCCGGTGGCGGGGCGCTGACGTGTCTGTTGCGTGTCTATTCTGTCTCCACAACCAAATCTCTTTCATCTCGTACGCACAAGCGAAAAGGAATAACCCCCCACGGGCCAAAATTGACGTGATATTTGTCGGCCTGCTTTCTTCGTCCATCAAAAAAGAGGCGAAGATGAAATGCGTGCAGCTGCATCTACATTGATGTAGTTTCAGCCAGCTGCTCTGCACGTACTTGCTTTTAAATTTGCATAATCCGCCTGCTGCGATTCGTTCCTGTGCATTGTGCACGCATGATGATGTCGGTCTGCTTGCTATTCCAAACACCAGTGTCACTGCACCATAGGTTCAACACGTGTAACTCCCTCTTGTCACCTGCTACTCTCTCACGTTACTCCCCCTCCTTGTGCTTTACTCTGCCAGATTTACCGTTGCCTCTGCATCCTTTACGCATCCGCGTGCTCTACTTTGCTTTCTCGCGCGTTCTTTCTACTGTGTTTCATTAAAAAGAGAAAAACTGGAGACATAATTTGGAGTTGTCCCCTCCACCTCTTTCTTTATTTTTTTTTAAAGTATTTTGTAGCTGTCTGTTTTTGGTTTCACGTGTAGCGATTTCTTTGAGGTGTGAAGTGTCGTCGAGGAGAAAACCTTTGCATTCTCTTTTCTTCCGTGTCTCGTGCGTATTTCCATCGTGTGAATCTTCGCGTGCTTCAACATCTATTTCCCGTCTCTGCGCGTCGGCGTTATACAGAGTTGTGTCTCGAGAGTTGCCTACCGCTGCCGCCAACGACACCGCGGGATTGCGTGATTTTCCTCCACATTTCTTGTTTCCTTCGACGAACCGCAGCACACCGCACGTCACGATGGCCAAGGAAAAGCTGAACTTCCGCATTACGGGGAAGAGCATCACCTACGAGGGCCACCGGGAGAAGCGGCCGAAGGATCTGATTGACATCCTGGCAAAGATGGGCGTGAGCGAGGACGTGGTGCTGCCCACCTTCCGCGAGAACATCGAAACGCAGTCGAACTTCACGGATGAGCAGGTGATGGAGATGTACGCCGAGGCAAAGGCGATCCGCGAGGAGAAGAAACGGGGCAAGAACGGTGGCGCTGCCCCTCCTGCTGCTGCCGCCACAACCCCCTCCCACCCCCACACCGGCGCCGGGGAGCAGGAGCAACCGCAGAAGATCACACTGACCTACGCGGGCAAGCAGTTCTCGTACCAGGGCCTGCCGAGCGGCAAGCGCAACGCGGTGATGCAGCTGTTGTCGAAGCAGAAGGACGTGACACCGGAGATGGCGGTGGAGACGTACCGTGCGAACCTGACAGAGGACTCCGCCACGGAGGAGGAGATTTGGGAGATGGTCCAGGCCATGAAGAATAAGAAGAGCAAGCACCACAAGGACGCCAACAGCACGGCCGAGATCGCCACCTCGACGTCGTCGCCGAAGGCGCCGTCACCCGCGTCCGCCTCCGCCTCCGCCTCCTCGCCCTCCGTCCAAGAGAGCAACACCTACGACGCCATCGACGAGCTGGCCGGCATGTCAGTGAAGCAGCGCGACGATCTGAACGATTTCATTCGGCAGGTGCTGGAGGGGCCGACGACGGATGTGGCTGCGCTGCTGCGCGAGGAGCCGAAGCCGCGTCGCGAGGCCGAGGACCACAAGGCGGAGGTGCTGACGGCGCGCACGTCCGGCAAGATCGCTGTGTACCTGCAGGAGGAGAACAACACGAGCGGCACGAAGCTGATCTACGCGACGGCCTCAATGACGTTTGAGGAGTTCCTCGCGGTGGTAGAAAAGAAGTTCGGTCGCAAGATGGTGCTGTCCTTCTACGAGGGCGACGACGTGATCGAGCTGGATGACGATGACGTGCTGGCTATGTACCTTGAGATGGTCGTGAACGGTGATCCGAAGAAGCTGCGCCTTATCTGCTCCAACCCAGACACCCGCGCGAAGGAGATTGACGACCAGATCACGGAAAACCAGCAGCAGAGCGTGAGCGCCGTCGGTTCGCAGGTGATCACGACGAAGGCAAAGCCCTACTCGAACGGCGAGCTCACCGTCACGGAAGATCGCACGTATTCCGGCCACTCCCTGGCTGTCTACTGCTGCGCCTTTGCACCGAAGGGCGACCTATTCGTCACGGCGAGCCGCGACCGCTCTGTCCGCGTGTGGAACGTGCGCACCGGCAGCTGCACGGTGATGAAAGGCGGCCACAACGGCTTCGTGCTGTCGTGCGATTTCTCGCCGAAGGGCAACCGCGTCGTCTCCTCGTCCGACGACCGCACGATCAAGCTGTGGAACACGTCGTCGTTCAGCAAGATTGCGACGCTGAAAGGACACGAGGACAAGGTGTACTGTGTGAAGTACAACCCCAGCGGCGAGTACATCGCTAGTGCGTCGTGCGACCACACCGTGCGTGTGTGGAACGCGGACACGCAGTCCAAGCTTGTCACGCTGAAGGGCCACACGTTGGCTGTGTTTTCCTGCGCCTTCAGCAACAGCGACAACGGCAAGTACGTCGTGTCCGGTAGCGACGATCGCATAATCAAGATCTGGGACTGGGCGGCTGGTAAGGAGGTGAAGTCGCTCGTAGGCCACATCGGCACTGTGTGGACGGTGGCCTTCTCACACAGCGACAAACTCATCGTGAGTGGCAGCATGGACTACGAGCTGATGCTGTGGAGCGTGGAGACCGGCACGCGTCTGCGCTCGATGGAGGGCCACAAGACTTCCGTGCACCACGCCCTCTTTTCTGAGGACGACAAGTACATCTTCTCGTGCGCGCGTGACTGGAGCGTTATGGTGTGGCGCACCCAGGATGCGGAGCACGTAGAAACCATCACTGGCCACCTCAGCACCGTGTACCACATGGACATCAAGGGCGACAAGCTGTTGACATCCTCGCTGGACGACAAACTGAAGCTCTGGTCCGTGAAGCGCAACTAGGCACGAAGGTCGCCCCTGGCATTTAGCCATCTCTTCGCGCCGGCCTCTTCGCTTCCCCATCTGTGCGCTTGAAGCCAAAGTGAAGACAGAGTAACAGTCAATTTTGGCCGTGTTGAACGCAAAACAAACACCTTTCTCTTTTCCTCGAGCTTTCCGTACTCGCCGAGAAGAACAACTGCTCTGGCGTTTCTGTTCTGGGAGGGAGTCTCGCTGTTTTTATCCGTGAAGGCTCTTTTCCTTTCTATTCGCCGCTCTTCTGGTGGCTCTCCATTTGAGGTCCTCTTTGTATCTTCAGCTGTTGCGTTGTCGCTCGTCGATCTGTTTTTCCCGCTTGCGCCTTTTATTGCTGTTATTTATCATCGCGCTAGCAGGCCTTTCCGGCATCTCTCCACACACCCAGTATTTTACCGTTGCGACGCGGAAAGCGGCTCGAAAGGGGTACCCTGTCAGAGACTCTTCGGTTATGCGACTGCAAATGCGCCTCGCCGGCTGCGTTGATCGCGTCTACCCGGGAGCGTCTTCGTTTTATCATTGTCCTGTTTTGAATGTCCTTTCTTGGTTATTTGTTTTCGCTGTCCATTGATGTGTGCAGCGGTGCGTGCGTTGCCAAACAAGCGCACCCAAGCCTCACCGTGGTGTGAAGCGCAGAGGCACACACTTTCCCTTTCCTACTGGCACTTCGATGTAGCGCGCGCTCTGCGACGGCGGAGCACATCTGTCGAAGGCACTTTTCTGCCTTCAAGCTCAACAGAGAAGGCGGAGTGAGTGCTGCGCGTCTTGAAGCGCTTTTGAGGCAACTGCTTCGGATTCTCCGTGCCAAAGTAGGAAAGACGCAAAACGCGATGAAAGCCAAATTGCATGATACAACAGGCATCACGACTCGGTGGCTGTGCCAGAGAAAAATAAAATGGAAGAAAAAGTGATCAGCCGCATGCGCGATGTCATGCATTTTAAAATTCACACCTTCGCAGCGTTCTGCGGCGTCGCACGGCAAGCCACTGCATATTTTTGTTCGACGTATTACTACTGCTGCTACGATACGAGACAGAAGAAAACGCCACAGAAAGCAGCTGCCCGCATACGCTTCTTTTTGCTGCCTGATTCAACCATTTTCCTTGTGCAGAGGCTACCCCATAGTATTCCTTTTCCAAACACAATTGTTTCCTCCTTTCGTTTCATCGTATATGTATGTATGTATGAGCATTACTACCTGCCAAACATAAAAAGTAGGGACAATTTAAGCCTTTTGTTTAGACGTAAGATTCTTCTAAATGAGGAGAAGGAGAAGGAGCTTTATCGAAAGATGGTTGCGATAGCAGAGGTACAAACTTAGTTCGTAGAATAAAGAGTAGCACCCCACGTGGGAGAAGGGACGAATGGTAGTGAGCTCAAAAGTACGCGTGCAGCGGCGGCGCACACGGCTCGATAAGACTACAAGTCTCTTTGCCTTTTTCTTCCTTTTCGCCAGGTATGCTTCCCGTGGCGCGTCTCTCCCTTTTTTTTTCTCTGTGCTTCTGTTTTTCATTAAAACCGAGAGTACTTGCTTTCTTACTGCCGTTTTCCTATTTTTCTTGTTTCAATGCGTCGTCGGTGAGCGCTTCGAAATCACTCCTATTTCTACCTAACAACAAAAGCGGAATTGCACGTGGAGAGATATCAGGTTTCTTCGCTTCGGCCATGTTTCTTTTCCTTCTGTTCTTTCTCCTCTGTCCGTTGACGGGCGTTGTTTCCAAGGGCTAGATACAGCTTAAAAAAAAAGATTGGCGAGACTCGTGGTTCACGCCCACACAAACGTACACGCACACGGACATTCATACATCGTATATGAAGGGCACGGGTTGCACTTGTTGTGTGAGTTTCCTGAGTATTTTCGTCCCCCCTTTCCTTTCCTTTTTTTGCTTTTGCCGAAAGTCCTCAAATAGTGCTGTGAGCGGCCTACAGGCTTTACTGTGTTCGGAGGAAAACCCTCCCGGCGTACTTGCCTTTTTTTTTTCTCGTTCGCGGGCGGACGAATCTACTTTTCATTTCTATTGATTTGTTTGCGTGCGTGTCAGCGTTGACGGAGGATTTCCTGGGGGCCGCGATTGTTGCCTGAGCATGGAGGGAGGGGTATAATGATTCTCGTCTTTTTTCTCTTTATCATTGTTAAGCACGTCCTTCTCCATCAGCCGTGGCGCTTGCGTTGTTTCAGTTGTACTTCATGCGATGTTGTAGTTGTGCCATATCTTTTTAAATGAGGCGATTTCAATTGTAATGCAAATTGAGAAATCAAAATAATAGCATCCGTATTTGATGTGAGCGTCCACAGCACAGAGTCCGACATCCGTTTCAAACGAGAGGATGTCTTGAGCGCAGTGGGGAAAAAGGTAAGGAAAGCGAACTGCGTCCTCGCCTTTATGCGTGCGTTTGTCCACGGGAATGCAAACTACAGTGCCTACTGTTCTTCCACGCTTTAAGAGGTGAAATGGACTTTTTGGTGTTCTTCGCATGTGCGAGGTAAGTACGTAAGGTGATTTTTCAGTCGGTGGCAATGAAACGACCGTGTGGTGCGCTCATGTACGCTGTAACTGTTTTTTCATCCATTAGCTGTGTGAGTGGTTTTTGCTGGGCAAACGCAGGCACACGTCTCTTCCAATAAGTTATTTCTTCGCACCCCACTCTCCATGACTCTCGCCCCTACCCGCTCTTCGGATGTTCATCCCCAACAACGGTGAGCGACTTACTCGGCTCATTCTGTTCCCCTACCTAACCCGCTGTACATAGATCCCCTTTTTTCTTTTAACGCACGCTTGGTCATGCATGGACACGAAAACTACCAAACGTAAAGTGAGATTTAGAAATCCCAACGCCATCGCGCTTACTATACCCGTTCCTTTCCCTTTTACTTCATTTCCTGCCGTGTAAGCCGCTGCTCGTGCCTACCGCAAGCGTGTTCCAGCAGTCTCTGCTGTCTTCGTCTTGTTCAGTGTTTTCGTTTCCTCTTTTCCTCTTTTTCACATACCATCACAACTACTTTCCTTCTTTGAGCTAGGTAGACGCGCATTTTCTTCCGAGATGTTTTCCTCCACGTTGTCGTTTGACGCCCTTACGGCCATCACATCCTTTTATGATCCGACTTCGACTCCGCTAGCCCTCACCGCTGCCTCCCCCGCCACGCGAGAGTCAGCAGAAATGACTGCCTTTGCGGAGTTTCCGCACCGGAGCGCCGAGCTGCTACCCGGGCGGGTGATGTTCGGCCTCGACCCACGAGACGGGGAGCGTGTGGCCGCCATTGGCGATATGCAGCAGTTCGAACGCATGGTGTGGTGGCTGACGCGGCCGAGCAGCGCAGCCGGGCGCCGGCCGTTTCCGCTCCGCAGCGTCCACTTCTGCCTCGACAGTTCCGTGGAGTCGCCAGTAGACGTCGTTGCGCGCGTGCCACTGTGTGCGGCGACGGTGACGAGTCTCAACCTGAACACGCGGTGCGACATGTGCAACCAGATCTCTAGTCTTCGGGCAATTTCGCAGCTGGTGGGACTGCGGGAGCTGCTGATGAAGCACACGACGGTGTCGCAGTCGTCGCGGCCGCTGCCGGTAAACATGACCGACGACCTCCATGCTGTTTTCCGCAACCTGCGCAAGCTTGTGGTGGGGGACTACTACGTGGTGCAGCAGCTGCCTTTGAAGGATTTACACCACCTTGAGGAGGTCGACCTGAGCGGGACGGGCGTCAACGTTGCGGTGATGGAGGCGATTGCGGGCTGCTGCCGCGTGCGCTCGCTGAAGCTGCGCGGTTGCCTCGGCATCGATGACTTTGCTCCATTAGGGGCCCTCACTCAACTTTCATGCCTCGACCTCTCTCACACCCACCTCCGCGACCACGAGCTGCGACACCTGTGCAAGTGCTGTCAACGGCTGTCGTCGTTCGCTCTCAACCACTGCGACGCCCTCGGCAACTTTGCCCCTTTGGAAGAACTGAACCAACTCAGCTGTCTGCACGTCGGACACACCGCCTTCCGCAACTCCGACCTCGAGCGGGTGTGCGTGCTGCCGGAGTTGGCGGAGCTGCACATCGAATCGTGCCGTCTCCTCGACGTCTTTGGGCCTCTCGCCTTCCTGCGGGACCTGTGCGACCTCGACGCACGCGACACGTGGGTGGACGACGCCGGGGTGGTGGCCATCGCGCAGTGCACCAAGTTGCGTCGTGTTACCTTAAGCGGCTGCGCTTCCATCTCGAAGTTCTCTCCGTTGTCGCAGTTGACGCACCTCGAGCACCTCTGCCTGTCCGGCTGCCTTATTGCGGATGCGTGTCTTAACGCGCTCTGCACGCCGATGATGCCGCTGCGCACGTTTCTCCTCAACGGCTGCCGCGTTCTCCGCGACTTTACGCCGCTGCGGCGCCTGCAGCTGGTAGAGGAGATAGGTGTATGCGACACCGCCTTCAATGACACTTCGCTGCAGGCTGTTGCGCAGTGCGGCCAGCTGGCCAAGCTTCATCTTCACATTTGCATCGCTGTCACGTCTCTCTCCCCACTCACGTCATGCGCCCACCTGCGATATCTCGGGATTGGCGGGACACGCTTTTCGAGTGGGTGCTGCGAGGCTGAGTGCGCCGCATTGCGCGAGCGAGGGGTGCAACTCAACCATCAGCTCTTCTTAGTTTCTTCTTTCTGACCTACTCTTGAAAAATGGTTTTCGTCTTGTTTCGCAGCCGCACGTTTTCGCTTTGGTTTTGCCTGTTCATACGTCTGGTTTTTAATTCTTCTGCGAATTCCCAAAGCGCGCTTTTCCTTTTCTGCTGTACTATCATTCATGTTGTAAACAAGGGAATGAGTGTGAGATGCCTTTGTTTTTGTGAACATGAGTGCGGAGCAGGCGCTACGCACAAACGAAAACGTCTCCTCTTGCCATTTTCTTTCTCTTTTCTCGTGTTATTGGGCAAGTGAATTTCCAGGATTGCACGACTCGTTATGTATAAAGTGCAGCCCTGACACCAGTTACCACACACCACAACAAATCTTCTCTCTAGTAAACATCGCCGCATTCAATTGGCAATACAAATATTTACTGACTCTGTTCTGCTTCTGCTTTCTCGCTTCCTGTTGTTCTTTTGCAAGACTTCCAGCTACTTCTTTTGTCTCCTTTTTACTGCCTTTACTGCTTTGTGCGTTAGTTCTTCCCCGTACCTTCTCCTTTCGCCGTCGAGTACGTATTTGCGACGTTTTACTGTTCTACGCGAAAATGAGCCGGAGAGGCTCAGAAAACACTGCGTTAGTGCGTATCGCGATGGGGAAAACGGAAGCGCAAAAGAGGGATGTGAAAACCAACAAGCGCTGGAGGCCTTGTGGCCGATTGTACCTTCTTCAAAGAAGAAAAATTTATGAAGTGTCAAACCCTCAACTTGACTAAGCGAGCCTTCTCAACTGCCTGAAAGAAGCCACAATATATGCGCGACTTCTCACTCTGATTCATTTTCATCTAACATCCCTTCTCTCCTCTCCCCAACACAACCCCATTTGCGTGTGCAACGTTATGTGACGCTTTTCGCTGCTCCGTATCCCTCTCGATGACGCTCAGATCGCCCTCTACCGCGTTCCTGCCTCTCCTTTCCCCACGAAAACTACTTTCTACACCCTAACAGTTCTATCAAGATGGCCAAGGGAAAGCGTTTCGCTGATGCCAAGGGCAGCCAGAAGCGCCAGAAGAAGGTGCTCCGCGACAACATCCGCGGCATCACCCGCGGCTCCATCCGCCGTATGGCCCGCCGTGGTGGCGTGAAGCGCATCTCGAGTGAGATCTACGAGGAGGTGCGCCGCGTGCTGAAGGCCTACGTCGAGGACGTCGTGCGCTCCAGCACCGCGTACACCGAGTATGCACGCAAGAAGACGGTGACGGCGTCGGACGTCGTGAACGCGCTGCGCAAGCGCGGCCACATCCTGTACGGCTACGCGTAAACGGAGCCTGTCGTCAAGCGTGGCACGCACCCTGCTGCCCAGCACATCCCCTATAGATTCTTCTTTTTCCCCTTCATTTTTTTCCTTGTTTCCACTGCCTTCCTGACCTTCTACCCTGAGGAGAGACGATAGAGAGAGAGAGAAAAAGCAAAGCCCCAAAGCGTGTTATATCGAAGTGGCGTGACCGAGAGTGCGGATAAAGTACTGTTGGTACTGCACAGTGTAAAAGAGAAAAAAGGACAGCGCCATTTTCTTCTGCAAGGTGCGATCGGTACCACAACAACTGTGCGATCACTTGTTGCATAAAGCACTGCCCCCCTCCCGTGGAGGCGCTGCACCGCTGTCCCTCTTCCGCCTTCTCTATCTCCCTTCTTTGCCTTTTTTTTTGTGCACGCGCTTCCGCATTTTATCCTGACCCCTTTATCAATTGTAATTCTGCAAGACGTTCATCAAAGTGTCGCACCGGCAATCACATAAGCACGCTGACCTACAGACAGATAAACACGTACTGTTTTGTTCGCTTAACCATTTCCCGCCACTTACGATGCTCGCAAAAGAGAAGAGTATTGATGTTGACGCGAGCTCACGGTGCTCAAACACCACATCGATGAAGCTCTCAACGAAAACACCACCGACAGAAATTGACAAAACCGCGGCAGTTCTCTCGGGCACGGTCCTCAGCTCACAGATTGACAACGACAATCCTTTGAGCGCTCCATTTCCATATTAATCGTTACCTCAGGAACACCCTGTGCCCCATAGCGGGTACGTGATCGCTTCGCTCGCGCTCACCGCCATCGCTGCCCTCCTCTCTCTTGGATCCATCGTCGTTGCCGCCGTTGTGATCAGCCGCGAAACGAAAGATGAGTCAGCTGACAATGACACCTGGCTTGTCGGCGGGGTGTATGTTATCTTCTACGCCATCACCGCCGCGGAGAGTGGCCTCTGTTTGATTGCCATGACGGCGTGCTTTGGTCTTGTGCTCAACCACAAAACACATCGTTTCCTCATTCGCAACCCGACAAATCGCGCCTTTGTCTGCCTCTGCGCTGCCGTTTTTCTGCTCTTTGTTTTCTGTGTGTAGACCATCGTGATACATATTCTGTGCGCCGATTGGGATCCCAAACGTGTGCCGTCTGCCGGCCTGTGCACCATACCCTGCGTCCGAGCAGTTGCCTTGCTGTCTTTCTTCGCCGTGCTGGTCGCCAACTCAAAGGTGAGCCCGCGTGATCCTCTGATGTAGACATCTAATGCGCTTCATTTCCCCTGGTTTCGTTGTGACTGTTACAAACAAAAGCACATACCTACTGTGGAAAGCTCTTTGTTTTTAACGGGTTTCTTTCTCTAACGGCTACCTACGTCCACTTTTTGATTCCTTCTTCATGTTCCACTATTACTTGTTACGCTTTTTAAGATAATCGATAAACTGCAATGCATCCCGTGCCCTACTGTGGAGTCGAACATAGATCGTCTTCCTTTTGTTTTCTCCTTGCTGTACCGTATGCTGTATTTCTGCCTTCTATAAGTGCAGGCATTTCTCAAAACTTTCTTTCCGTTGTTCACCTTGCCGGCGCTTTGCGGGTAAAGCGATGTAAGCGTTTGTGTAGTTGAGCAGGCTTATCTCATCGCCGTGCTGGTACGGACGCAAAAACGAAGCTTCGGTTTTTTTTTTGTAAACATGGATGCTCCTCTGATTGTCAGCATAATACGTTTGTTTTTGATTAATAAAGTTTTTTGACATGAATCCAAAAAACAAAATGCACAGAAAGTCTTGGAGTGTTGAAAGGCGGAATAAGGTCACACGACGTACTCTCACAAGTACGAATACACCGCAGCAAGATCCTATTACAAGCAAACGGTGTCGTGTGGTAACTTCCCATTTGCAATGCTCGTGCGTGTAAGGGACAGAGGTTGGTGCTGTGGAATTCCTGGTAATGTCATCTTTCACGTCATTCTGCTTTCTGCACTGTTGTCTCCCCACTCTTCTCTCGTCCAATCTTGGCCTCTTTTCGTCTTGCCTTACGTGCATGTCGCCCTTACAGCAAAAACTACCTTCAAGAGTGCTGAGATCGCAGGTGAAGGACGTAGCGCACGGTATTGTCTCTTAGACGGCATTAAAGCTGAACACTTTGTGTTCCCAGGTGCTTCCACCGAGGCGGGTGCTTCGTCGAAAAGGAATGAAGTGAGGCAGCGCTTTGAACCCACAGATGCGCCGTAGTTGTCACCTACAACGGTAACGCTGTCCTTTCTTTGCCGCGTTAGCAGGCAACGGATTAGAGCCATACGATCATCGAGCAACTCTGCTCTCCTGGTACTGTGAGTTATTATAGTCCCAGTTGCTGAGAGCTGCCTAGCGGGGAAAGTGTGGTGCCACAAAAGGGGATAGTAGATGAAAAGAAAAGCGGACTCCTGCGCATTGATGTGCTTTGCGTTAGAAAGCGGTGGAAACCAGACAGAAGTGACTCGAGCATGCCGAGTGCAGCGTCGCCGTTGTATCACAGCTCTATCCTTTCTATATTACTTGGTAGTGGATTGTCCCTGCTGCACTTTAAGCTCTGCTTTGCAAAACACAACGCTTGATTGGTTGAGTGAAGCACCGTTTGTTGCAGCGTTGCCAAATCCTCCTCCATGTAGCAATAGAGAAGGCCAGAACGGTTGATTATCCGAGACTTGAAATCTTAAAGAGCGAAATACACATCTGAAGTGAGGTATTTGATACGGAGAGAGAACGAGGTGACGATAATTTATAGCAGGCATTTGCGCTCAAAGAGGAGGGAAGCGGAAGAAATACAAGACGTACGGGACCACACAAGAGAAGAACGACTAAATATAGCTGTAAAAGGAAAGAAGATGCGATTGAAAAACGGAGTGGAAAGAGGGAGAAGAAATTGAGATAAAGGCACGAAAACAAGAGAAATTAAAGCAGACACGACAATGATTCTGACTGCCGAGAACGCCAAGTGTCTCCCGCAAAGCAGGTGCACCGCCAAGGTGTCCTCTATCTTTCAAGCATTGTCGTGAAGCATGAGATCGTCGGAGCGCTGACGAACCACCTCATCTCGCCCAAGAACCCCTTCGTCGAGGTGATTGCACCGGCGCCGTGGAAGAGGCAGAGGGCGTGGCCGTGGTGGTGTGTGGCGGGCTCTTCGGGTGCCGGACGCGACGCTGTCTACCACTGCGGCACCACTCCACCGTGGCGAGGGGCCAAAGAACGTGCGGCAGCTGCCCACCAAGAAGAAGCAACTGCAGCAGCAACGGCGGCTTCCTGCTGAACGGCGGAGTGCTGCAACGCCTCGCGCTCAACCGTCCGCACACCGCGCCAGCTCTAACGTGATGAGCCCACCGCTTCCTCAACGCTCGCACGGCAACAAGCAATGGAGACGAGCAGGGGCGAAGAAGCGGTATGAAAGGGAGCTGACTCTTGCCGGGAGTTTCTTGAGAGACAGGCGGCCGCCACCACGATAGCGGAGGTGAACAGAGCACCAGCGCGAAAGAGAGGCATGGTACGACGAGGGCTGCGACAGTTGCGGCGATGTCTGTGCCAGATGTGGTGGTGGTCGACTCGAGGGCCTGGCCACGCCGAACACAACACGGCCCTCTGCACGGCATGAGAGCCGGACCCTTTACTGAGCGAGCAGGCACGCGAGCAACGTGTACAGGGGAGTAGTGGTCCATCTGTGAGCTGTTACCTTGCTGGAGACGTGTGACGATGGCGATTCCCACGGCTTAGGGGTAGCCGCTCTGGGACTGCTGCGAGTGCGGCCCAAACTGGGGAATCTGCCGCTATGCACCGTGCGGGGGACGCTAACACTGCTCCGTCTGGTGCGTGTGTGTGGCCTGACGGTGAGTGGCTGCGTGTGGTGTATGACTGGACGGGTGTGCTGTGGGGTGAGCGTGCTATAGAGGGCTCTCTGCCATTGGGTGTGTGGGGCTGTAAGAGACGGAGGGGGCAACATAGCGTATGTACATGGAAGTGTGGCGTGCACAACCTGCCGTCTTGTGCTGTTGGCGTTGGTGTTGGGGCTGCTGTGGTGTAGGAAAGGGCGGGGTTAGGGTT